ACTTACATGTCCTGTTTGCTATGATTTGTCAGGTTCCACAGCGCTATCACTGTTCTTGTCGTCATCGCTCCTATTGTTATCGTTAGCAGTATTTCCACCATCATTTTCGTTTTTACTGACATCAACATCGCCAATATCTTTGACACATCCCATCGTCATTGTTATCAGCACGGCCCCCATCATCCTCGTTAAAACTGATATTAACATCACCAACATCTTTGGCACTCCTCTCATCGTCATCGTTATCAGTACGACCACCACCTTTCTCAAGTTAGTCTCCTTCACTTCGCCCTCTGTTCGCTATCAATCTTATTCTTTTCCTGCATTCTCTGCAAAAAGCTGTATAGTAAGGGAGAGAAATATGTGTTTGTAGAATCATTGTCAAAATATCATATAGCCTGCTAGCCTCGTGACAGCAACCTCTACAGCAATAGAAAAAGCATCAATTAAACATGTTAACTCCCAATTACAATGAAATCTTCATTTGGTTAGTTTTGGGTAGATCAAGAGTAAACTTACGGATGCTAATAGAAATAATGACAGCCAACTCTTGATAAAGAACTTTTGCTTGCCCTAGAGAAAGCCCTCTGTTTCCTTTTGGTGGTAGCCTGTTTGTGTGGCCACTAAATTTTGGGGGCATGGAACATCTTTTACTCCTACACACCCAACGTGTGCCTTAAGCCTCTCGGTGACGTGGGCATATTGCGATTTCGTCCTTTTCCGACATCAAACTGAAGATAGCTTGAAATACAAAATGAATGTAAATTACATCAATTTTTAAAATATTCCTGCCCGTGACTAGAAAAGCTACATGCCATTGACCGTGCAGGTCGCTGATTTAATCACGAGTTTAACATCATAACAGTGCCTGGTATATACATTGGATTCCATTACACTTTGGTTGAAACCATATTTTGTCTCTTTTTCGGGGCGAGAATTTTCGAGTACACCATGAAAGGGATATGCACTCGCTCGACGCGATGTTATATGGCAAACTTCGAGAAACCACACCTGACTAACATCATTCTATTGGAAATAAAAAGGGAAAATAATCACTGTAATAAAAAGTCTGGCTTTTTGTTAGAAACGATAACTTTTCTAATGTTGCAGCTCAAAGAAACCAACATGTTTTATCAAACATGATAAATATGGTAGTTACTAAAACAAGGAATGACCTAAAATGACCTAAAATGATCTCAAATGACCTAAAATGATCTTGAGTTTGCGGCGCCAGCAAAATTGGAAATTTTGGGCAAGCCAAAACAAAGTCTGCGTGACAAAATAGAGCGTTGGCTCCTCTAGAGTTTTTTTTGTTTTTTTTTGGCTTAAATACCCCATGTAGTCACTTTCATGGCCGTTTCAAGGAGCGTTGTGTAGTGCCACCATGGACAAAGGCAAGCGAGAGGAATGTATGATTTCATCAGTCAATTAAGAAAAACGCGAGACAATCCACTGTTGCTTCTTAAGTCATGTCTCTGTCTTGTGACCTGCGTCAGTCGCTCCGAGATCTGATGATTATATTCTCGTTTTAGCCGCCAGACATTTCTTTCAGTAGTCAGGGGTTTACCGAAAGAAGTTTAACTCACCTGCGAAGAGTATTTGGAGATCGCAACAGCCCTTTCTAGCTTGTATGTTTTGTTTACCTGAGAATTACGAGCTTTAGCTTTTAGTGACGCGTACGTATGCCCAAAAATAGAAAGAAATTTGAAAGAAGCAGTCCTCCAGAGTATTATTACGTGACCTGAAATGGGTAAACAAAACATACAAGCTAAGGGACTGGTCAGAAATTAGCAGGGGGGGAGGGGGGGTGGGAATTTTAAATTTGGGTTCGGAAATTAGGTGACCCATCCCTGCAATGGGAGTGAAATTTGCTAACCCTCCCCTTGAGCTTGGCCTAAAATATCATGACCCTCCCCCTCTTGTATAAATGATAAAATCTAGTTCTTGCAATACACTAGGGTGCGTCAGTATTATGAAAACTCAAAATATATTTCTAATCTGTTCTTTGTCTACTAACATTATTAATAACAACATTATTCATAATTTCAATAAGACTATATAGCATTGTTATAAATGAAAAGTACATGTTTGTTAAATTCTTGCTATAGTACTTCACAGTTTATATCCATAACGTTCCGTAAACCGTTGTATTTTTCTCTTTTTTTTGCCAAATAAAGAACTTCCTTTTTCTTCTGTGGGTGAACCTCTACATGATCACGGGCATATATTTGCATGACCCTCCCCCTTTTAACTGCCCATTTTTCATGACCCCTCCCTTTTCTGAGGCTCAAAAGTTGTGACCCCCCTCTGTTTCCACCCCCCTCCCCCCCTGCTAATTTCTGACAAGTCTCTAATTAGGTCTATTGTGGCTTATCTGGGAACTGTAACAAAAAGGGAAGAGGAAGAAAGGAACGATAGGTTAGGAAGGAGGGACAGAGGAACAAAAAAGAACATAGGGACAAAAGAATTCTGGGACAAAGCAATAATAAGTCAGTGACAGAGTAGACCAGAGGAACAGTAGGAACAGAGGGACAGAGGAATGTTAGGAACATAGCGACAGCCTAATTTGATGGAAATTATAGAAATCAGTATGTCAGATTTGTAGTGTTGTTTCATAAACCTGCTCGTCTGTTTCTTGTTTACTTATTATAATAGTTGACGTTAAACAATGGCTCCTACTTTAGCTTAAAAATGTTAAGGCGTTACTCTCTACAATATGCCTTTTTCTAGCAAGTATACCAACATCTTGTAAGCGTCTGCCAATTCACCGAGTCAGCAGATTTTTCATTTTCCATTTTCTTCCCATTGTCAGGTTCCAGCGGCCATCATGAACGTGCTGGAGGAAAAAGCAGTGAAAAAACAAAACGAGATGTCACGAAGAGGAATCAACTTGTTTTACTTTTTTTGTTGGATATCCTTTTATCAGCTGGTCTGTACTGGATTGATGTTTTGGGTGAATATCATCCCATGGTTTGGGAATGCTTGTTCAATTCAAGACTTTGGAGAAAAGTACGTGTACCAGGTTTACCTTAAAACTGTTTTTCCGAAACTCTTGCGATTTTTTCTGCGTATTTTGTTTACAACATAATCGCTTGGGAATATTAGCGTAGTTTTTCTCTTTGCGGAGATCTAACTTGGTCCGCATTGGACTAGCCTAACTCTGCACCGCAGTTGCTCTTGGAAACTTGCGTCCCTCTCTAAAACAATCTGATCTATTCATCACCAAGAGCTGCGTCCACAGATAATCATTTCATCTCCCTATTTTTCAGATGGCGGTGTGGAGCTAAATGTTTTTTCGGGGCAGCAGGCTGTGATGCCACACCAGGCATTGAAGGGACCCTTTTTATTTTCATGAACGTTTTATCCTTTGTTGGAGGAGCTAATCTTCTGAGACACGCTGAGGGAGCCACTTGGCTGGCTATCATAATGGTAAGAAATAGTCGATGAACTCAAATTCTTAGCAATTTTTTAGAAATTAACGCCATTATTCATAGTCCAAGCTCTTTTCCAGACTGTGTAGTAATCTTTTCCAATGGGGAAGCACTGTTCAGTTTATCAGTAGCATGGGATCTTTGCGGGAATTTTACCTTTAGTATTGGCGATGCCACTTTGCGAGATTAAATTTTTGCGGTTCTTTGTCACTAAAATTTCTGCTGGAAACTATTTGTGCCGATTTTTTTAAGCGGCCGAACGCTTACGAGTTAGTAATCATGACATTTTCATTTCGTTTGCCGAGTTTTGGCACACTCTACTTAACAGAGACACCCAGTAAACTCTCAGCACGCGAAATCAGGAAATGACGAAAACAATCAAATGGAAAGCCTGTCATTGCCTCCACCCCTATTCAATTAAACTGTTTAGTTGGTCTGTAAGGAGTAGATATTTGCCTTGTTGCAATTTGCACGACTTTTACCTGCGGAAAGGTATATATGGGGTATGAAGGCATAGTCTACATGAATTAATAAAAAAATTGTCCTTTAAAAAATGACTGTAGCCTTATCCTTTAGCTATGCACCCCAAATTTACATCGTCCCTCGTTAATTATCCCAATAATACTTTGCTGACGGGTTTGTTGTTTTTCCTCCAGTCACTTTCTATACCAGTGCGATTTATTGTATGGTCTCTGTTCAGTGAGGTATCACACAAGTGGCAAGAGAAGAAACCTGATCATTGGCTCAGTGCAGAGCTTGGCATAGCTGCTCTGGTGTTTATGTTTTCTGCCGCTGTAATCTACTTCAAGGGGTGAGAATTAGTTTAAGAGTAACCTGTGTGTATGGCTTTTTCTCTGTGCTTTAGCGTTGAGCGGCAACATGCCTTATAAAATGTTTGAAGGATAATTACCACAATCTGACAAAAGCCTTATTTTGCGCCCATATTTTGAAAAGGAGGTCTTTAACAAACTGCTATTTTACCGCACGAACAATGATTTCCCTATTTGTTCTCTTATTTCCTTTGATTTCTTTTCTTTTTCTTTTTAAGGGCACAAGAAATAACACTAGTGGATGCAGAAAGGATTGAAAGATAAGAAGAATATGCCATGAGATTCTAAGGAAGACCAAGCGAATTCATTTTAATGGTTCAAAGTGGGATGATAGAGAAGCCTGTAATATAGCTCATCAAACTGTTCAAAATGAGAGAACTCTCGGTTTGTAGCACCAGCGGCTCTTCTTTGACAAAAAATGTACATGATTTTCAGCGTTCTCAGAAAGTTTTTCAGAACCCTGAGACTCGAAAACAAACATCTCTATTTGGTTTCCTTCAATAAATTTCATTAATTTACCTTTTAGTCTGATTATTCTAGCGACTGAGTTCGAAAACTGGTGCCCGGACCTCTATACTGTATTGTCATCCTCCACTTAATTTTTTTTCATGCGGATTACCGCTGCACTTCTTGGTCTCAGACTCCCGTTCGCCGTTCTTCGTTCTCCTTCCTATGTCCTATGTTCTTCGTTTTCCGTTCTTCTTTCTCCGTTCCCCGTTTAAAATTTTTTTAAGGATTTGGTCATTCTATTTTTCACAACAATTCCACCACCAGTAGTCGCGTGGTCTACTTTCTCCCTATGTGGTGTGATGTAACTGCACTGTTGTTTTCATGAACTGAATCCATCGTTATCGAACTATCCTTGTTTCTGTTTTTGCAACGAGAACACGTTTTATGCTCTTTAAAATCAAAATTTTGCGGCAACAGAATCCATTTAAGGTTGAACCTTTTATTTTCACGCTGCTTCAGCCTTAAAAATGTCGCTGAACACCGAAGATTGTTCCGATGCGATGAACAGTTCTCGCCGAGACTATGAACCTCTGCTAAACACTACCACAGAGCCAAGCACTTATCTCCTCAGCAACGATCTACGGAACCAGCATAGAAAGAACACACCTTGGTTGTCACTGAGCAGTATAGCGACTCTCTTGTATGCATTTGTGGTCGTCATCGGTCAAGTTACGCAATATGTCACTCTGCCGATGTGGATCGACAGTACCAAGAATGTGACTTCATCCCAGAACCAAACTATTGAGTGGACACCAACAATAGACAGCTTCTTCGTTTTATCTTTTGCTTCATCTGTTTTTGTGACTGTGTTTGGTTCTGCCTTAGTTATTAATATCTTTGTTTTTAAGCAATACTCAATCCACAAGACAGATTGGAATCATCGCCGTGTATTTTTAACGGTTGGTTTCTTTCAAGGACTTGCTGCAGTATTTATTGTGTTTTCTAGTAGTGGAGAGAGAACTCCGCCTTATCTACAAGCTATCCTTGGAAACTTCTCAATTCCTATAACACTGTTATTGAGGTAAATATTTCTCAATCTGTTTTGACTACACTCAAGTTGTTATTCAGGGGTACCTGCAGCCAGCAGTTTTTGTCAAGAGGAGGGAGGAGGGGGAGAGAGGAGGGGGGAAGTGGAACTCCTGAAACCTGAATTCCAAATGTTTTAGATGCCACGATGATATTGGTATTTACCAATGAGATTATTTCTTCTTAAGAGATCAAGAATTTCTCCTGTGGTGAAGTCAGTAGGTCAGAGCAAAGATCAGCCTGTATCAGGAGAAACCACAGACAGTACATTGCTCCATCCATATATTTTCTCAACATAAAGCTTGGTGTGTTAATAGAACAAGCTAGACTATGTTGATGGGGTTCATTCCAAAAGTGATTTAAGCTCTTTAACTATCAAGAAGGTGGTAAAGGGTTTTAACATGATGGATAAGTAGGTCCAAAATTGATTAGTGCCCTAAGAATTTTACAGAAAGGCAAGAAAAGGTGAGATTTGAAGTTTTCCCTTTTCTTTTTCATGGAATTTGAAATACTGTGTTCAGTACATGAAACAGGGAAATCTTTCCAAGATATTTGTGCATGAAATGGGATTAGAAGTCCCCTTCCCCCTTTGTTACCCTGGTAACCAAGTAGGTACATGTTGTCAAAGTTACCTATGGGCACATTTCATTTCAATTCTGGACTGCATAATTGCAAGATAAACTTCTGCTCAAAGTGAGATTGCCACTTATGTAAGTCTGAAATTGTGGTAAAGGATAGGTAGTAATGAGATTGAGAGACTATAGTCTCCCAGAAGGATAATTTTACAACCCACTCTCTCTCTCTCTCTCCTGCACCTTCTTTGCTAAATGTATATGAAACTTAATCTGTATTCAGGTGTTCCTTTATTTCCTCTGTCTAATGATAGCACTTGACAGTAGGCACAAACAAAAAGTAGGAAAGAAAAAGGAGAATAACTAATCATATCCTGGGCAAAAACATCATTATGTTTCATATTACACTAGAGGAAAACAAGGGATGACTGGTCACAGGTTTTCTTGCCTTGTTCAAATGTTGTTCCTTGGCCTGTGTGACCTCATTCTTATTTTTTCCTTCTCACAACAGATACCTCTTTTTAAAGAAGGTTCCTACAAGGAGAAAGTTATTATCTGCCATTGCAGTTGTCCTTGGACTTTTTATCTCTCTTATTCCAACTTTCTACCCACATATTGATCCTCGAGCTGTAAGACATCTTGGAGGAGCTACTGGTGCAGGAAGAGTCTTATGGCCTTTAGCATTTATGCTTGGATTTGTAAGTCAAGATTAGTATTTAAATGCTAATATGAGGGGTGACATTTGTAAAACCACTCCTTGCAAATGTATTGCAAAAATGACGGCAGAAGCAGGGTTGTGTTTCTTATAATGTTCTTCACACTTAGTATAGATGTTAAATTTTTTTTCTTATCCCTTAAACTCCCATGAGTGACCAAGACAGAATTTTTCCTTACAATATCAATACAATATCAAGCAGACAAGTGATGAGAATAAAGAAAAATATCAATTAGGGGATTATAAGTTGATCTAATCCCAAATTCTCCCAACTAACATCACAAGAATTGTATAGCAGACAGCAAGGAGAATTACTAATGAGATCTTGGGAGTTAAAGGGTTAACTGAAAGAGGTCAATAATCTTCTCTTTGAGACACCTTTCCTAACTTTGAGTGGCCTACACTGTGACTGGTAAAGGCTAATATTCAATTGAAATGCTTCCACATGGTGTTTGTTAAAAAAGAGCTTATTGAATAGAAAGAGAGGAGAATTCACACCAATTTCACCCCCTGAATTGTTGCCCTGAGGTATAACAAATACTGTTTACAGCAGTTTCAACAAAGTTTGTCAAAAACAGGGACCTTGCAATTATGTTTCTCAGATTTCCCTGAAATCCTTTGGTCAAGGAGCCATGACCTGAAAACCTCCCACAAAATGAATACCTTTTGGGGTTGTCATCTGCACTTTTACTCTTCTTTTGACAATCTCTCTCAAAACAGGTGTAATTAACATTAACTGAAAATTTGTTCTTGTTTTGTTTTGATTTTGTTTCTCTTTGTAAGGGGATCTCAGCCCTTTCCTTTGTTATGGAGGAAAAAGCTATTAAGTTGCGAGGAAGCAATCAAACTCAAGCTGGCTTAGTATCTTTCCTGTTTTGGACGTCACTGGCACAATTTCTTGTTTTGTTGCCTCTATTCTGGGTGGATATCATTCCTGGAGTCGGACAGACCAGGAACCTTCATGAATTTATTCAAAAGTGAGTATGGGAAGTTATTATTAGTTGGGAATTACCAAGCAATGCACAAAACTTTTGAAAATAAATTGCAAATTTAAAAAAGGGGGCAATTTTTTATTTGCTGTTTAGAATTTATTTTGATTTTTAACTTAATCTGCCATCTAATATCTCCGTACAGTATCACCTCTGAATCAAACATTATGTTATGAGAATAAAGGATTGACCACTAACTACAGAAGCCCTGGATTGTTTGTCAAATTCCCTTTGTTAACCCTTTACTCCCTATCATCATTATGCATTTTCTCCATACTGTTCTGTATACATTTCCAAAGGTGCTAACAAGGAGAGTTTGTGTAACAATCAAGAGCTTCTTAAGTTGGTGATCATTTTCTTCATTCTCATGACCTTAATGTGTGATTCAGGGGTGATATTGTAAGAAGGAAAATGATGTTAGTCACTCTTGGGGGTTAACAGGTTAATAGGAGATGTGCAGAGAAAAGTGTGAAGAATATACATGCTGATTTTAGGGTGTAAAGGGTTGACACACTTGTAGAAGTGTAACCATTTATTTGATAGTGTTTTTAGCAGTTGCATAATGGTCATTAGACCTTCAGAGGAATCACATATGTACCTAGACAATTTTTGCTCAATGTGAACTTGCCTTTAAAAAAGTGGCCATGTCAGCTCTTCTACTCCCTCAGTCAAATGATCTCCTTTTAAATCCAAAGTCAGAAAATATGTCCACAACCAGGTATCTAATATTTTCCTGCGAATTTTATTCAGTTGGATTTTTGGGATCCAGTGCATATTTGGTGGAGTAGGATGTTCATGGTCTCCTGGTGTCCTTGCATTCTTGTTCATCACTGGTTATATTATGGTTGTCTGTGGTTGTGCATTGCTTCTCCGATATTCAGAGGGAGCAACATTACTTGCAATTGTCATGGTGAGTTTCTCAACCCCATTAAAGCCTGCAAGTGACCAGCATGTAATATCTCCTTACAGAAATACTGCTGAATCATTCATAAAGATCACAAGAATTAATGAAATGATTGCAAACCTAAGAGGCTTTGATTGTTAAACAGATTCTCCTTTCCAGAAGCTTAGGAAATGTCTAGAGAAGAGTATAGAGAATATGGATTAACCGATGTTTAGGTTGCAAACAAGTCTTTTGCATACTATGTATGTACCAATTGTAGAAACTTTGGAAAGACACAAGGTTGATTTTGTTCCAAAGTGAAAATTCTGATGCTTAGAGTTAAAAATCCATGTTTTTTTTAAAACTTGATGAATATTAAGATTAGCTGTGTACAAAAACTTTTTGTTACTCATGTATTCTGTGGGAGGGGCAAGTTTGAGAATTCTAATTTTACTTAGCCACAAGTTACACTCAAGGTTCCAGAGTGCTTGAGTGAGGTAGAGTTTGGCACATGTAGACTTTGAGAAGTAACTGAAAGGCAATATGTGAAAACTCTTTGTGATATGGAGTACATTTTTTACATGTATACTTCTCATATATCTTTGACGGGCATAGTTGATGTACACTTTTCATGTGAATTAGAGTAAAAAAAATCCTTGATATTGTAATAACACCATTCACTTCAGACATTTTTGTTCCTGTTTTTTCCTGTATCCCTTAACTTTGACCAAGGTTTGGTGCCTTGCACCAAATATGGGCTGTTAGACTTCACTCAACTCACCTCCATTAGTTACTTTTTGTATTCTCTCCTTTCAATCTTTAGGCTCTTTGTACACCCCTAGGATTCATTTTCTGGATGTTGTTTCAAGAAAAACCCTTCCAGTGGCATCCCTACTTTCACACTAGTTCCTGGTTCAATATTTCTGCTTTAATCATCATGATCCCAGCAGTGTTCATTTACAACACAGGGTAAGTTTACTGTCATGGCAATCGAACCAATTACAATTAAAGTTGCTGGCACATTCATACAAATTTAAAATTAAAAAAAAAAAACTTTAATTACAGGGAATGATAAACTTAAAAAATTACAATAATTGAGTCTATGTTAATATTGATGATCTTGCTATTTTCTAACTTTTTTATACAAATCTTACCCCATCGGGTACATTTTTAGAACAGTTTGATCACAAACTGTGCATGTTTTTAGCTATGATTTAAAGGTGGCAGCCCATGAAATCATTCCCTTTTCAATAGAACTAAAAAGCTGAGCCATGGAAATGAAATAGCAGAAAAAAACATTCTTTGCAACTGTTATTCCATACTGCATTATGAAATACTTGCCATTTTAAATACTAGTAATTCAGGTCAGCTTATTTTTTATTTCTATTGGTTGAAACCTAGAATGCCAGAGATGGAAAGAGAGGAATTACAGTAACTGCTTCAGATGAAGACGATCAAATCAAAGGTCACTGAAAGATGAACTTTAGTATTGATCATACTGAAAGTTGATATGAATTTTTTATATAATCATTTGATAATTATCTTTGCTGGTGAATTTCTTTGTTGTATGCCTGCTTGTTTCCATGGTATCGAATTCAGTTTTCTGTGAAAATAATCTTTGATTTTTAACTTTTGTAAGGCTCCTTTCAAAAATTGTATGGAAACAAAAAAATTCCACAATAGGCAGAACTTTAGAGTGTTCCATGATCTAGGGCAAAAATTGATATAATTTTATACCAGGCAGTGGAAGCAAAATTCCCTTGTGCAAGCTTAAATTTAGTTAAGCTTTACAGATTAAAATGCATTTATGTAATTAGTCATCTCCTATGCAGCCATTGTTTGGTCTCATCATGCACACTCCCCCATCACTCATTACTATGTCATGAGTTGCAGGATGTTTTTCTATTATTTTTTTGGTACATCATAATACATGGTGAAAGACAAATTTAAATCTATTTAATTGTTTTTGTAAATACACTCACCAAGAGTACAAAACATGATATAAAACTTCAATCATGGTAGTTGCTTTGTGGAATTCAATGCTACAAGGAATTGATTACATTTATCAGCAACCTCATAATAAATGTATTTGCTAATAGGAAGCATCAGTACTTAAAACATATGACATACCAAAAATTAGTTGTATTAATAATTTGGAATGGATTCTGCTTTACAAAAGATATTGATATATTTATTTGAAACTAAAATTTAAGGAATTTGAACGGTCATAAAAATAAAATAAGGCTTTTCTTTCTCTTGTGGAGTGTGTTTGTTTGTTTGTTTGCTTTCTATTTTATTTTTTGGTTATTGTTATTATTTATTATTATTATTATCATCATCATCATCATCATCATCATCATCATTATTATTATTATTATTATTATTATTATTATTATTACCCAGTTTACTTTCAAGAATATAATAAATTTCCTCTAGAATTTCCTTTACAAAAGGCTATCACCTTTAAGGAAATCTCACTAGGTAACTGAATAGACTTCACCAACAATCCAGGTAGTTTGCCTGACGGGAAGGCCAAAGCCTCAATGGAATTCTCACTAGTGTTTCATTTAGGATACTGTTGGGATCTCATTAGCATTGCAACGTTTTGAAGTTGTTGGCCTAAGCTACAAAATTAGGGGTCTTTCTTGACTCGTTGGTTGTTTATTTACTGAGTATCGATGACAGCACCGCGAAAAATTTAATGACGTTTCATTAAGAGTTCGAATAAAGTTAGTGCTTGTCACGCGCTTGTTGCGCAACTGGAACTTGATTCGTCACGCAACAGTTACATAATACGAGACACGAGATTGTGACCCTTGGCCGGCCTTCGATCGAGAGGGCTGGAACAGATTAAGATGTTTCATGGCAAGTGTCCTAATTAGACCAGCTAAAGTTGTACTTATTTCATCACTCAGAAGCGTTACAGTGAAGGCAGTAAGAAAGTTGCATTCTAATTTTGAGTTTCCTCGTTGCAAAAAAGAGATGGAAGGACTTGAGATAACAGATATGAAAGTAGTGCCTTGCGTCAACTCTCGCTTTATCCAGCCGTCAAGAGTTGTCTTCAAACAGGTCAGGCGATTTCAAATGTTGAAGGTTGAAAAGAAAGTTAGCGTTAATTTGGCGTTGAGTAGGCTTGGTAGTAAGGTCTTTTGGCTGTCCTTTAGTAATATCTTGTACTCAAAACCTGCGATCAGTACTTATTTCAAGCATGATTTCCGAAAAAAATTAAAGGTTTAGGCACCTGAAATTTTTCCACCGGATCAAGAAAAAAGACAGAATTAATTCATTTCCAAATTTCCTATCTAAATGCGCTCAACAAAAATGACAATCGTTTGCAAGCATCGATTGACTCTAGAATCAACGACAGTGGTATTGTATTATGTAATATCATCATGAATGGTACCGAGTTCATCAAGACTATAATAATTATATTAATGCGTTGAGATGGTTAAAGACATGATCACAAATTGCAAACAGTGAATTACAAAATTAGGGTCAGTATGAGACTTTTTGGAGGACTTTGATAGATATCTACTTCTACCATCATGTGAATATTTTTCAGAATTTGTCAGGTAACCAACTCTCACACTACACTAAGCTTGGTTGCCTGTGAGAGTACTCAGTCCACAACATGCTTCCTAAACAGTGATAACCTTTGAATCCTAGGATCTCACTAGTAATTCTCTCAAGCATTTCGATATTAATTGAAACCATAACAAAATCCCTAAAGATTAGCGGTTATTACACATCCCATTCAACATCTAATCAAATCAATAATTTTCAACTTGAACTCCCGTTTCTCTACATTGCAATTTATTAATCAATCAAAATAAATGATAAGTCAGACCCAAAAAGATTGGCTCCCTGGTTCATTTACAATTATAAAATGGATGGAGGAATTTGGAGTGAAAAGTCTGTAGGATGATATTTTCCAACTCTCTATTCTCATCACCGTTTTTTATTGTTAAAAAACTATGTACCTTTTTTATTGTTATCCTTGGTAAAAACTTTCTCAATCCATTTTTTCTTTGTCTTCAAAAAAGAATGGTCTGCCCAGAGAATGGGACTATGTCAAGGAACACGATGAGTATGTCCTTGTACATTCTTTAACTTTTGATATAGCAGGTAGACAGACAGTGCTGTCAAACAACTACATACTGTTGATGCCAGTAATAACATTAACGTTATTGGTGTTTAACTTAGTCATGAGATCAAAGAATATGGCCCAATAATCTTAACCAACATTTATGGCTGCACGATTAGAGGATCATTGAATTTTCATATCTCTTTTAAATGCATAGAATGGTCAGGAAAGAAAATGGGACTATTTAACAGTACATGATAGGTATGTGAATAGTTATCTGAATGAAAGAACCCTTCATAAGGGTACATTGAAGAAGCCTTGTTGGCTGACATTGCTACCAATTGAATTGGTTATGTTTCCTCTGGATTGAGAGTCATTTTTTGTAAAAGATTAGCACTCCTATTTTTGAATAAGGTAATTTTAAAGTGCTTCACAAAATATTTCCTTATGTAGACATCAGCTAGCCCCCTGTGAGTATCTTATTTAGAGTCTCTCCACAGAGGATATATTCGAAAAAGAAATTAGACTCTGCTCACTTCCCAGAGTAGAAAATTGAAGCCTTCAAACCTGACAGAAATTACAACTTTAGACTCTCCACAATTTAAGGAGGAATTGTCACAATAATGACTATACATTTCCTATAGAAAGTGTAGTTGTTCATTTAAATGATTCATACTAGTGAGGTAGTATATAGTTTAAGATACTGAAATTGTTATGAATTGACCAAGTTTGTTTTCCTTCAGTGTCTGTGCACTCCTATTTAACACCACACGACAGTCTTTCGTTCTTGTGAAGCAGTTTAGACCAGGTGAATGTTCAATTTCCTCTCAACATCTCGTAATAAAATAATTATTTTTGCTATTAGCCACACACTTTTTATAATTTTACATCTGATAATTTGGCGTCAAATCAAAGCAAATCACACACAGCATAAACCAGATGGAATGTTTCTCTCTTCTCAATACCCTTATGCTTGATACTGTTTAGATGTGGTTAGGAGAATTTACTTCTTGGTCACATCTGAGATTGAAAGGAATCATATAAGTAACCCTTATGCTGGCATTTCTATTCCAGCTATTTACATGCATGTCAACAGAAATCTCCACAAGAAGGCATTGACTGATGGCAGTGCAGTTACCATGACAGCAGATGATGCATCTCTACCAATCACAGCTCCATTCAATGAAGGAGTCACTTATGAACTGTGCGCTGGTATCATTGATAAAAACATGAGTCTTGCAGGTTTAATGAAGCAGGAAATCTTGGAAGAGTGTGGTTATGACATTCCAGAAGAAAACTTGCAAGAAGTTGTATCATTTCGAGGTGGGGTAGGAAGCACTGGTTCCCTACAGACATTCTTCTATGCAGAAGTGACTGATAAAATGATTGTGAGTCAAGGTGGAGGAAATCTTAATGAAGGGGAAAGGATAGAGGTGTTTTATCTACCACTTGACAAGAGCAGAGAGTTTGTGTTTGATGCAACCAAACATAAACCAGCGGGGCTCATGTTTGCATTTATGTGGTACTTCAACAAGTTTAATATTTAAAAGGTCTTTAACCCTTAACCCTTTAACTCCCAGATCAAGTTCGTAATTCTCCTTACTGTCAACCATACAATTCTTATAATGTTAGTTCAGAGAATTTAGTATTGGATCGACTAATTATCCCTAAATTGATATTTTCCTTTATTCTCATCACTTATCTGGTTGATATTGTATTGATATTGTAAAGAGAAATTCTGTCTTGGTCACTCGTGGGAGTTAAAGGGTTAAGAGTGGCTGGCTTTTAATTTATCCCTACATTATCATTCTTGTAAAGATCATGAGAATAAAGGAAGCTTTGATAACCAATTTAGGAAGCTCCTGATTGCCAATCAAATTCTCCTTGTCAATATCAGAGGAAAATGTAAAAAGAATAGTCTGGAGAGTAGGAATACCAATGTTAGGGTGTAAAGGGTTAAGATAATGCGTGTAACATCAGTTGTTACATTTAATTGTGTGGAGCAACAGAAGACCATTGTTACAACTGAAAGTTCAAATTCTTCCCATTTTTGATATATCAGCTACTAAGGACAGAAAAGTAGACACAGTGCTTTACATGTATATCATGTTTACTCAACTCCAACCTCTCTAGCAAGACATCTTGCTTTCTTGTTAATCATAAGGTGTATGGTAATAGGACTCGGGAGAAATTTTGATATACATGCACACTGTATAGTATAAAAATAAATTCCAGAAATCTCCTATATTTAACTTTTGTTCACTAGTTTCAGTCCACAATTGTCCAAAAAACATAGACTAGAATTTGTTTCAGTGGAAACATTTTTGTATTATTGCAGAGTACAGATGCTATCAATAAATCAGTCAACTTACTTTTTAACGCATGTCATTCACCATCATACTTTAGGAATATCATTTTTGAAAATAAATGTAACATGTATTATTTTGTTGAAGCCCAATTCATCATAAGGTATTCTGACTTCAAGATGACAAGGTAAAGTTATAAAACTTCAAAATATGGCACAGTTTGTAAATGGGATAGCACAAAACTCTTGTGCACAAATCTCTGTGCATATATATGTATGACTGGTCATGTAGAACTTCATATATTAAGTAAATGTCCCCAAGCCAAAAGCTAAAAGGTGCTGGTGTTTTCAGTAGGACTCTCAGGAAGAATACTTATAGAGTCTGCTGCAGTGCCGCAAAGTAGACAAGTCATCATGTATTCCTAAAACAAAAAAAGATTGCTTATGAAAAAGGTTCTTAGTACTTAGTAGAATTTCACATAACTTGATAACAATTTCAAAAAACTGTTGAATCAAAACTGAACTCCTGATATGATCCTAGCAGTGCAAAGAACACATTCAAATGTAAACATAGTGCAGGCCTAAACCCTTTGACTCTTAGAAGTGACCAGCATCTAATTTCTCCTCACAATATCTTGCCTGAATCAAACATTAAGGTCATGAGAATAAAGGAAATGATCACCAACTAAAGAAGCTCTTGGTTGTTAAACAAAATAATTTCTCCTTGTCAGTACCATAGGAAATTTATAGAGAACTGTATAGAGAATATCCATACTGATGTTAGGATGTAAAGGGTTAAGATTACCACAAAGAGTCTCTGTGGCTTGGCAGTACAGCGTGGGAGAGGAATCTGAAGGTCTTAGGTTTGAATTGCTTTAAAGATTCAGAAATATTTCTCTGTCCTGTGCTCACAAGGAATTCAAAAAAGCATCTTTCTTTAACATTGAATTATTACCTGGTACTTTCCTTCAACCCTAAATGTGTATTCATGTTCAGCCACAAGGTGTTCGCAGCTAGGACAGATATCTGTAAAAACCAAACAAGTCAATGAAATCTTTTAAATAATCATTTCATTGTTGGGCACTTGTATCATCATTTTATCCCACTATTCATTGTTAATTCACTAATGCTCACTGAACCTGAGTTAAAGTACTGTATTTGTGGCATTACATACGTTTGTAGGTAACAAGTTCCTCTCCATCATTATCCTCTTGAGTTGACATTTCAAAAGTTTTAAGTGGTTCTCTTTTCCCACACCCCTTACAGCCAGCATAGTTCTTTAAATATGATCCACTCTCCAAGCAGATTGTTCCCTATTGATAACAAAAAGCATTTCAATTTCCATCATCTCAAGCACAAACATGGATCATAAGCCACTCAGCAACCCCCCCTCTCCTCCCTTGTATTTTTCAGTAGGTGTTTACCTTTCTCACTAGTTAAAATAATCCAACTCTTTGTTTCAATTTATGATAATCATATGTGAGGAGGATAAAAAAGTTATGCAATTGACGAAATGTGTATTGGCATACAGTATACTCCCTTATTAAAGAAACAAATGGTAATTACAGATAATTAAATTAAACTTCTATGAATGACCAAGACAGAACTTCTCCTTACAACATCAAGCAGAAAAGTTATGCAGATGAAGAAGAATGTCAATTAGCTGGGGGATTGTTGGTCAATGCAATGCCAAATTCTCCAAGCAAAAATCATACGAATTGTACGGCAGAAAGTAAGGAGAATTACTAGTGAGATCTAGGACTACGGAAGGGTTAAATTAAAATGATCGTAATGCCACATGTAGGTTACTAGGAAGGGTATGAATGGTACTTCAGAACATCTGGCTTCAGAGATCATAAAACTTTTTAAAATTCTGTGCCTGTTTGGTTGCAACTGATCCACAGATTTGCTCGCGTTGTAGTGTCATTCATAACAGCAAACCCAATCTTTATTTTTGGTATAGCTTCAGAAAAGATTTAGAAATATCCCTTGTTCTTACTCCGCCGCTGCCACAAACAGGTAAAGAGCGAGTACGGTTAAATGTGCACTCGGATTAATGCAATAAATCTCAAAAAAAAAAAAGAAGACGAAATCAAAATGTGCCGATGTAAGTAAATTTCACTTAAGATATGAAATTGAACAGAGTGCGGGCTTAACATACGCTTTCAATGTGTCAACAACCGAGATGCAAGCGTCTTTAAACACAACACTATCATACCCGTTGAGGATGCTGTTCTTTCACACAAAATTGGCACATGATCGTCACATGTAACAGAACTATGCAAGGCAACGCATCTATCAACCCGTTCCCACTTAACCCTTGCAGAGGGATTAAGTGAACGCGGTTTCCCACCCAAGGGATACAATAATGTTCTTACACGACATCCTAAATATTACGTAACTTCTTGGAATCGAGTAAGCGTGATCGGTTTCGAGGAAACTCTGTCGGCTTCAAAAGAATTCCATTTGCAAAGTGTCATTAGTCTTTCAAGACGATCGCACCAATGCGTGAATACGTCAGATGGCGATTTTTAAATGTAAATTGTTCTTTTCATATTCGTCGAAGAATTTGGAATAAACCGCGGTCGAAATTAAGTTGCTCGATAACACAAGCGATGAACGAGAAGACATGAACAGCTCGCAGAATGGACTTCTTCGATGGATTTCAACAAACAAGTCTTACATTGGGTAAAGAATGTTTCCTTCTTGATAATTCAACATCTTTCCATTTTTACGATTACAATTATAGCTGTTAGATATTAGAAAGCGGTATGTCATTTTACCATACGAACTAAAAAGGTTAATTCAATCACCTTTCAACAGATATAGATAAGCTTGTAATGGTTAATTGCTGTGGAAAATATTCATTTTTCACCATATCAGACACGTTGCTTTGAATGTCAATTTGCCGTTAAATCTATTACTCTACAACGTAATTTATGGGATTTCCTTTTGTAAGCAAGCTACTACATGCTGCGTCAATATATTGTGTTTGTGCTAGTTATGGATGTTTCTCTGCTCCGGAAATTGAAATTCGTTGCTTAGCTGGATCAGAAATTTAAATTCAACAAGCGGGTGGCTTTTGTATCGGAAATTTTGCCAGTAAAGGCAGAGACGCACATGAAAGAAAAGGGTTTTGAACAGCCAGGAACCCACAGTACCAGGTATTCATAATTGTGGCAATGGCTTGCTTTGTTATTGGACACCTGTGATAGCTTTTACAACTGTGATTTTAAAAAGTATTGCCTCTGTAATTTTCGCCTTTAAATCATACTGTAACATCCTATGACTTCAACTGATCAACTATGACTTCCCTCAGATCTTACCACCCTCAAACAACTAAATACAGTCCTGTAAAGTATGACAGCCCCAAATGTTTGTGTTGTCTAAAGGGCTGCTTCATTCTGTATATATATTTACTTGTATTATTAGTGGAAAGAGACAAATACAAATTTTGGACTTTTCTCAGTGTAAAAGTTTTATGCTGGTCTTAACACCTCCATGAAACTATCCAACAGATCAATCCCTTACTACTGTTGGTAGTTTGTTCTGTGTGCAACTGAAAAAATGTCCCTTTTTAACAGTTGCTCCCCTAATTCAGCCAGTTAATGAATTGTGCAAACTGGATTAATGACTACTGTACATGTTTGTTTACAATACCATTCCCAATATCAAGGAAAGATTGTTGAGTATTTTAAATTTGTCCGGGCATGAATGAACTTACAAATAAAAACTCATTTTGGATTGATGGACATCTTTTAATAGGTAATTCTTCTCATTCACCATTTCAAAGGCAATATGAAATACCATATTTTGTTTTTATTTTGGTGGAGGAAAGGGAACCAAAGTGCCATTCCCAATTCAGTGTTTTGCCTTCTGTCCAAAATTACCTGTCTTAATAAAGATCCCATTGGTATCTCTTTCAGGTACAACCATCCAGTTGGTGTTTTAGTGTTGTCTGTACTTGGACTGGTTGTCTGGATTCTTGGTTATAGGCTCATAAAGGTAAATATTTATGTACTTAAAAGACCACAGCTTCCTTGTTTCTCATCTTTAGAGCAAAGCCATGGCCAGCAGGACACAGATGCAGGGTAGTTTAGTCCTAATTATGGCAAACAAATTATCAAGGCACCAATCAGGTGAAAAATTCAGTAAATAAGTTTAAATTAAGTCCCCCCCCCTTCCCATTCCTTAGAGTCTTGATCAGTTTGTAAGAATCATATAATTACAGAAGAGTCATAATTAATAATAACTTTTTTGTACTATATGTGTATATCTTCATCATTAGCCCATTGTTATTGTGGCTGCGTTTGCGTTTGCTGGTGTTGGATTTTACTCCATAAGTCCTGATGTGTTTAGTACAGAATTTTGTTGTGATGGAAGCCATAACAGAGAAGGTAAGATATTATGTAAATGTTACTTTGCATTGACTGTCATAATTTCCTCATTTTTTAATCCTCTACTTGAAGACACTCTTATGACCGAGTACATTTTTCAAAACAAGGCCACAATTTGATTTAACAGAACCCTTTGGTTCAAACTGTAAAAAGTAATTTCCTTTATTTTGGACCTGTTCAAAAATTTGTGCATTAATGTACAAACACCTGGACAATGTATTGTTTAACTTGTATCAATGTAAATTTGCACAAAAATTCTACCTAACTGTCTACCCCCCTCACCACCCCTTTAGAAAAGAAAATCACTTGTAAGCAATAATTGTAATGCATAATTACTAAAAATAAGTAACTATTTATAGTAAGAGACCTTTCAGGTCTGTCAGGTGTATAGCTCTCTGAAATGACCAAAGTGATCTAATTTTGTTCGGTTTGTATCAGTTCGCATCTCCATCAGCATTATCTGTGGGCTTCTAGCTGGAGCACTAGCCTGTTATGTTTACAAGATTGGTGTATTCTGTATGGGTTGCATTGTTGGATGGGTAAGCTTAATACTGTATCTACAATTAGTCTACTTCAGAGTGTACATACTGCCATAGTGTTCCATAAAATACCTAAGATACTAATGAGCACCCTGCAGTTTGGTAAAAAGACAGATTTATTCTTCATGGTTTTGGTGTTACATTTTGGGAAATGTGAGCTTTTAATTTTACTCTGACATTACTGATCATCAAATAGAATTTGCTGATCAGTGTTGCTTGGTGTTGTCTTCTGTTGAATATTCAGAAGGTTTGACAAACCTCTCCTGCCAACCCATAAAACAAAGTTTTAATACATAAAAAGCTGACCTACACCCTTATTTTGACTGGTTCTTACTTATGATGATCTGTTGGAGGACAGATGTACATGCATGACATCACCACCAACAGGATATTTTTGCTTTTATATTGTATTTATATGAAACAAATGGATTCCATATTGCTGTGGGTCAGTAAAGTTTTGCAGTAGATCACAGGAGATGTCAAAATGTGGTAATAACTTTAACATCAGTGACACACTTGGTTGTGCATCATGTGCCACATTTTGATGTTATCTGTGATCCGTTACTGAACAGACTCGCATAACATGAATTCTAGTTATTCTAGAGTACTGAACTGATAAACTGTATGTTTTGATTGAGACCCACAACTCTTGGTCATTGTTTCCTTCAATCTTTCCTATTTTCACAGGCAATTTCTATAGCAGTGGTCACTTTCTGGTTTTCCAAACACTTGACAAGGTATGTTACATGCAGTATTGCAAACAGTACAGCTGACTCTCATTAACCCTCTACACCCAAACATCAATATGCACATTCTCCATACTGTTCTCTATACAATTCCTAAGGTACTGACTATGGGAATTTGCTAAAAAATCTAGAACTTCCATAGTGATGATCATTCCTTTAATTCTTGTTACCCTAATGTTGGATTCAGGGGTGATATTGTAAGGAGAAATTAGATGCTAATCACTCATGGTCTGTGGTGAGAGGAACAATCAAGTGTCACTACTATTTTGCAGCTTCTATCTTCATTCACTTCAATTTTGTTCAGGGCTCAAATTAATGCTTGCAAACTTTCAAAATGCCAGTGAGTTTGATAATCTGCAAGCGAGAAAAATATCCACTAGCAAAGGTTTGATAGTTAGAATCATCCATTCCCAAACATGCAGTAAATAGGTGGTGGCTGTCATGACAATGGCAAAGGAGACCAAACATTTGATACCTCTTTTATTAAACTTTTCAGCACATTAGTGGCCTGTGCAAAATATCAATTCTAATCTTTATAGCAGATATAGTCATTGACATTTCAAGGGAAAGAATTTGCTAGTGGTCTCACCAGTTTGCTAGTAGAAAAAAAATCATATTAACAAAACTTTGCAATTGGACTTAAAAGTTAATTTCAAGCCCTGTTGTTGCTATCATCATTCATGACTAAATTGTCATATTTTTATTCCAGTGACTTGGCTTTCTATGGTGTTTATGGTGCTGCTGGTCTGGTAGTCGGAATCCTTGCTGTCTGGCTAGAGAAAGTGTTTGTCATTTGTGCAACATCTCTCATGGGATCTCTCATGTTTCTTCTTGGTGGGTAATCAAAGTTGACAAAAGACCAGAAGTGAACCAAAAAATCTGATACACTGTAACTGTTGCCTTAATTTATCATGAACTCATTGATCTATATGATAATCATCTTGCTTGTACCAACTACAGTACCACTCACATATATATTAACCGAAAAATATGAATTAAACATGCCAAAAATGACATACAGTTGTGAATAAAAAAAATTGTGCACATTAAAAAATCGCACATGCACACACAACTTTGAGACTTCAACCTCATTAGTATGTATGAGGTAGTCCTTTTGTTCTTCTACTGTTGGCAGTTTATTGTTTTAAAGGATAGGCTATAATTCAATAGCACTAAAATACTACATGGCTACCAACAACAAGCAAACTTGTTCGTTGCAATCACCATTCAAACTGACCTTCCCTAAATGCTATTACCAATGTGACTTCGTAATCAGAATATATATTAAATGATTTATAATTTTCCAACAGAATTCATTTATCAAAATAGCTATTTCTCACTTTGTATATAGAAACATCCATTGTAATGGCTTGGGAATTTGTTCAAAATAAATCTATTCTCAGAGTATTGTAATTCGGTAGAATCAGCCAAGGCGCCCGTTTGTAACAAGTTGTCACATTCTGAACGCAAATCCTTGTCAGCGGTGAACATGCTGTTCTCAAAAACTGGTTCATTCATCTCAGTAACTACATGCAGTAAAAAGGGGCAAGTTTCTAAAGAAAGTGTGGCACTGTGTCAGTGGGGGTATTCTGAGAAAATTTTGTTGATAACGTAAATTGGCCACCCAAAAGAGTCTTTATAGCTGACGTTCCAAGGGTTAGCCTTACATCAGAACAAAATTTAATGGGAAGCTCCTAGTAAGTTGTGCATCTAGCTTGAGGTATAATGCGCTTCCTTTCCCCCCCCCTTCAAGTTCCAAAACGTGCTGCTGTCTTTGTTTGTGATATTAGGTGACTTAAACCCTTTTTTGAATGTAGTATCATCTGAAATGACAAATTAAAGAGGCAATGTATTATTTAGCTGTTGGGCTAGCTAACTTATAATGGACTCTTGTTTCCAGGTTTGGATCATTATTGTAGAACAGCATTCACTGTTGTAATTGAACAAATCTTGTTCAAGACAAAGGATGCCTTCAGCCAAGCAGCAAACCATCCTGCTCGTGTGACACTGGAATTCCATGAAGCCCACAAGGAATTCACCCAGAAAGGTTTGTATCTTTACCCTTTAAGTCCCAAGATCTGATTGTTAAGTCTCCCCACTAACTACCACACATTTCTTTGCAAATTACTTACAAGAATTTGGTGTTAGATCAAGGTAGCAACTTTTACCCAATAAGTTTGAGTATTCTCATTACCTGTTTTCTGGATAATGTACTGACATTATAGAGAGATGTGACATTGTACATGTCACTCACTCTTGGGAGTTTGAGGGTGATGTGCTGATCAGTTGGAAGCTGAAACATCCCCCCTCAACCAGGCAACCCATGGGCATTTTGACTGTGGTCCATGTCTGGTGGATGGGGAATTTGAACCTTGCCTGGCTGGGATGGGGAGTTTGAACAGGAAGTGTCAAGTCCTCTCAGTGGAATACAAGTGTTATATCTATATAGAGGTGTTTAAAGGTAAATAGTTCACTTTTGGAGAGAATGGCTCAGAAAAAAAGGTTTCTAAGCTCTAGGTTATAGAGCTTGGTCATTGTGTAGAAAGTAATGGTTGCTGATTTTGCCTTTTTAAAAAAAATAGTATGGGGCAATTGAACACTTCTTCAACTACTTTTAAACCATTTAACTCAGCATGAGTGACTAGGATAGAATTTCTCCTTACAATATCAATACAAAATCAAGCAGACAAGAGATGAGAATAAAGACAAATATTAACTTAAGGATTTTTAGTTGATTCAATACCAAATTCCAAATTCTTCAAACCAACATCACAAGAACTATTGCAGACAGTGAGGAGAATTACTAATGAGATCTTGGGAGTTAAAGGGTTAAGTTAAGTTACATTTTTCCATTTAAAAGAAGTACTCTGTTTCTTCTTCACCTGACATCTATATACAACTGTGTCAAGAAAGGTCGAAAAAAGCGTGAGAGTGCACGCGACAACCCCGAAAGGTACTGTGGGTAGTTTTTAGGTCACGTTTCCTCAACCTTAGTATTTCGGGGAAATCTGAGAAAACGTCAGTGTAAGAAAGAGGCACAGCTGGTTTGATGAATGAATTTATTTGTCTATTTCACTTATTAAAATTCATTGATTTTGAATACCCAAATTACCTCTCAATATTGTCGCGTGCACTTTTGTCCTTTTTCCGACAACCTTGAAAACAACATTATTAATGTAAATTAAATTAAATTTCTATTGCGCAAATACCAACGTAAAATTTTCATTTGCTTTCAGCTTTAGCGATGTTTCTTGGCTGGCTGTTGATGTCAGCGGTTGGCGCTATTTTGCAGTTCATGTACACTGCACAAGAAATCGACACAGAATTATTCATGAAAAGCTGCGGCTGTGGCTGTAATAATGATAGTGCCGTGCCTAATGATAAAGGTGTCCGCTACGTGGTCCTTCCTCCACCCAAATTGAGAGCATTTCTCCTTCATCAAAATGACACTAGACCTTTGATGAAAGACTCCTGGGATGACATTACTCATGTTGAGTTGAATAGCAGAGGATCGGGAGCAAGTCGACAATGGTTGCGTTAGATACACTGTGTTAAGGGACCCTGAAACTAGTCTAGGTGTCACGCTACTAGCGGGAAGAAACATTGCGTTAGACAACATTGCGTGACTTATAACTTTTTTTTCATTCTGTGATATATAAGAGTTATTGACCAATCTTGAGGCCAGGATAGCTGGATATTGGCCGAGTTTTTTCGCTTTTTTGTCCTGTCCCCTGGACCGAACGAGCTTGGTAAATAAAGGATTTATTAAATAGCAAAAAAGATTTCCCTTTCAAAAGAATTAAGAATGATTTCTTTATTTCCGAGCGCTGGTAAAGAAAGCCAACTATGATGACACGTGCTCTTTTTTCATTTGACAAATTGAAAAATTATGCAATTTGATAGGAATTCTTCTCGTTTTTATGAAATTTTTCCTTGGTCGGGAATGACACTAAGTTCTCTAGTCCTGTTTTCCATTGGACAAAGCCAATTCCATGCTTTCAAACCACTTTCTGTTTTAATTTTTTTCCGGTTTTCGCTGCGCAATTCCTAGAAATATCATTTATGTTTTCTTTTTTTCGACTCCCCTCTATCGCCTCTGGCCACTTCGTTGCCAAAATTCTCCAAAAATTACGAACTCTGGAAGTCCACTTCACTCAATTTTTCTCCTTACGAATTGGTTCGAAGAGCCAATTGAATTACAGGATTTGCTTCATATTGTAGACGGGCGCTGCCAGCTATATGGTAATCATCGATACTGTGGTGTACTTTAAAAGCAGGCGTCCCTTAGTGATCATGCTACTAGAGGGAAGAAGTGTTGCGTTAAGCAACATATTGGATAATTCATGGATGTGTAGGAAGTTTTGTAACCAGGGCAACACTTTGCTCAAGTACTTTGTTGTAGGAGACGTATCAAAACGTAATGGCGCGGTCCTTTTGCTTGCCAGAATCTCCACACTTTCTTATTTCACTTGAAAGTCGTCAGATAGCCTCATTAAAATTTGACAATCCTACGGTTTTTCATACTTTTCAGGTAATTTTATGTGGGGAATATTGTCTTTTGGCCTTAAAAGATAAAAAGTAATATTCCACACTCATTGCGTCGGCGAACTTTATATGATCAATTTATCATCGATTGAGAAATTTTTGAGTGGGAGAATTTTACTCGCCTCATTAAACTTTGGACAATGATTTGCATTGTTTTTGTCTCTTTAGCTTAGCAAAGCAATCTTACTAGAATTAATTTTCTCCCAATTCTAAATTATCATTCAAGTTATCGATAACGAAGTCTCCTCTTTCTAATAACATTCTGATGAAGCTTGTATTTCTCCGTCTATGATAATTGGGTTTTATCAACTGAATTTAAAGAGTTTCTAAAACTGAGGTTCAGAGCGTGAAGCCCCTCTCTGACGAGGGCTAACGCTGGAAACGTCAGCCTTAGAAACTTTGAAGGTTAAATTGCTATTTACTCAGTTGATGAAGACAAATTACTTGATTTGTGATATTCCCCACTGATGTCCACCGATGCAGATCGACTGAGTTTCAGGAGTTGTGCTCCTTCCTTCGAGAGTGAACGCAGGATTTTGGACAAACAAGGCAGTCACTGTCAAAATTTTGATTTTGATTTGTTCGTCTGTCCACCCAGCATTGATCAGGTTATCATAACCATGACTAGCGAGACAAAAATAACTGATGACTTGTTCCTCGGGCACCATCCACGTTACGTTTTCTCTCGCATACATCGGCTTAAATTTCAAAGAAATACTGTACCGCCATCGAATTAGATCAACAGTTACAATTTATTCGGAACGTCAGTGAGTCGTTGTACCATTGAAAAAGAGTCAATCAAATGTCTGCGAAAGATTTCAACCAAACGAATTCACATTGTGCGCGTTATAGACTGAGATGAACTTGGACGAGGGTCTCAATTTCACCAAAGCAGCTACGCAGAAAATACTTAACAAGTTGGTTTATAGCAAGTGAGTTTAACAAGTTTATGTTATAGTGAATGTGGCTTTTTATACTCTGCTCGCTGAGTTCCCTGTGGTGGTCAAAGGAAAGTCTGGTTCCTCTTAGACGAGGCACCAGTTAAACCTGGTGTGATATGAATATGGCACCTGTCTGTTGTATTTAAGTGAACACTTAACTTCTACGAGTTGTCCGCATCATTCGAGCTTTTGATCACAGCACACAGTGATTAGCCTGTTCAGTTTGCGGAGGGCGACTTCAGATAGATTTTAAATTTCGAAGGAATAGACTAAAACAATAAAAAAAAAAAATGTACAGTATTTTCAAGCTGAAGCGTACGAAGTTATCAGTTTCCTAAAGAAACTCTAGTTTGCTCTGAGTCAGTGAACAGGCAAGACACCTATTCAGTTCAATTTAGTAACAAGAAGTTCTTTAAAAGTACACGTCCACGGTGTAATGATTTTTTAGAATATGACGTTTAGAGCGTGAGCCGTTCGTGGGATCAAAGCAACATGAGGGACAATCATCCAAAAGTCGGGCTATTACCAACGTCTGAATGGTATTCGACTATAAACGTGATTCAAATAAAAAATAGTCTACGTAAATGCAAATGACCATAAAATACTTAAAGTTTGTCGCTGAGCACAACCCATAGACCTTATATCTGGGGAAAAGTTGGTGATAGTAGTGGTTTCCTACCATGCTATGGTGCATTTATTGCAGGCATCCAGCCACCGTGACTGTAATCGAGATATCAGCAGTGATTGGTATAGTGGTGTGGGCTGCTGGTTATCGGCTAATTAGGGTAAGTAAGAGAAAAGAACAGAGTAAGTTCACGAGGGGCACCATCCATTTTTAACAAACCCGACGATTAAAACGACGTAGAGGAATTTTCAACAACAATTGAACATAAGCTTAGGGTGCAAATTCAGTTTCTTTCAAGAGGCTCCATCCTCTCTCGTTGTTTTTATACGGTACATGATAGATAATGTAATGACAGCCTTCTTTTCCTTTTTTCAGCCATGCATGTTCCTCGCTGGATTTGTTCTAGGATTCCTCATTTTCTACGTATTCAGCCCACTGATCTTTAAGACACAACTGTGCTGTGGTCCTAACGGGAAGGAAATAGGTCAGTAGGTTCTCTGTAAAGTACTTCAAATCAAATGCGCCTCTTGGCTCCGACGCAAGACGCAAATAATCGTATAACATATATCGTGGACCAAGTCCCACTAAGCTCACTCGTTTTTCAAAATCTCTACTACAAAAAGCCACCCTGTCAAACACTCTGTATAGTTAGAGTGCATGTCCATACAGATCAGGCAAGTGTTGACGTTACCGATCTTTTTTATACACCTTTTTACTAGCCCACGTTTTGTTCAGTGCATTGGTCGGTGTGTTTGGTGGATTTTTAGGATGTCGATTATACAGACTTGGTGTGTTCACAATCGGAGAGTGTCTAGGACTGGTGAGTAGTACCAAGGTTCTCTTTTTAAAGTCACGGGAACCTAAAAAAAAACTGGTACAGCAATAGCCTCGTATCTCTTGGCTCAATGACGAACTCAACAGTTTCACCATACAATGTAATAAAGCGGTCCTTTGTTTGTAAGATGCACATCTCTCTATTGAAAAAGTAAATTTCTCCTCTTGCCTAGACTTTCCATTAACTACCCTGAAATATTTCGCGCCTAATCTATCGTTCACTGGTGAACGATAACTTTACATGCTTGTCACACAAGGATTTGAGGCTTTATAAGTAGACCAATAACAGTTTTTAGTTGATAAATCTATTTAAGCTTCTTTGTATGGGATATTGCCAATTTTCTATTGGTCGAGTTGAGCTTTTCGACAAGGTTTCATGTTTGCGTCGTGACACTGTGTTGAGATTCCGTTTGCATTCTTGTTGTGTGATTTTTGAAGAGTTATGATGACTGAAATAAATTTTGCAGCCATTTATTGTTTTTCAGCTGGTTGGCCTTACAATTCTAAGCACTCCGCTGTACAAGTACTTTCACAGGTATGACTGATTTTTCATGATGTTTTGACCACTTCGATTGCTTTCTTTAAAAATTGCAACCATCTCTGACTGAACATGCGCAAAATTCTTCTCTCCTTTTCATGCAGTAACATTGCCTACGCCGCTTTGATGGCAACAGTTTCACTCATGTTCGGATCGCTGGCTCACTTCTATGAGAAACCGGTCGTAGTCATAGCAACAGCTTGCGCTGGATCATTTGCTGTGTTCTATGGTGGGCATAACTGACGTACACTTCCTACTCATAAAGCTTTCTAAAAAGGCCGTAAATCCTCCATTTTATCATCACGACATACATGACAATGAGTCTCTCTAAGGTTACCCTTTCATCCCTAAGAGTGACAGTAGGCCCAATTTCTCCTTAAGATATCACCCCTTAATTACTTTTTCAGGTCATAAGGAAAAAAGAAAGCCCTTGATTCTTAAAAGACTTCTCGTTATCAGCAGCTTAGGAAATGTATGAAGAATAGTAAAGAGAATATGCATACTAATGCTAAGGCGTAAAGGGTTAAATTTACCAAAGTTAAAACATGGCTAGGTATGCATTTTTCTTTGTTTTGTTTTCCTCCCCCCTAGGAGCTGACTATTTTCTTCGGACAAGTTTTTCCGTCACAATTGAGGCCTTTTTGTTAAGAATCCGGGACGTTCTTTGGGATGGGCTGAAATCAGAGCTCTCAAATTGGACCTACAGGGCTAAAGTTCCCGACTATCTGGCAGTCCGTTTTACAAACAACGGTGGGAACAGTCATAATTTATCGCCTAAGAGAGAGAGAGAGAGAGAGAGAGAGAGAGAGAGAGAGAGAGAGAGAGGTGGGGAGGGGAGGGAGGGGCGTTGGAAGAATTTTTTGGGGCGAGCACAACATGGTTTTCATGAGGAACGGAGCGGGGATCAGTCGTCGCCAACAGGGCCAAAATGGGGACTGAAAGTAAATGACTACCATTTAATGAGGGAGAGTCATTAGAATACCACAGAGCCCTACTCGGATGTTTTCAACATTCGCGCACTGGGTCGGCTAATGAGGTAGATTGCCCTTTACGGAATTTATTGGGTTAAAAATTGTCCCTGGAGATAAGGAAAAAATTTTAAGTCAAAAACTGGTTCGAACGTTGCATTCAAATTATAAAACAAGTTTGCCACAACCAAATATTGTGAACACAAAGACACTTCTATGACAATGGGTCTCTAACGTTAACTTTTTGACTCCAACGAGTGACTAGTATCTAATTTCTCCTTACAAACACTGCTGCAACACACATTAACGTCATGAGAACAGAAGAATTAATCACCAACTAAAGAAGCTCTTGATTGTTAATTAAATTCTCCTTATCAGCAACTTAAGAAATGTGTAGAGGGGAACATGGAGAATATACATACTGATGTTAGGGTGTGAGGGGTTAAACTAATATTATTTCAGTCATTTATTCGGTCTTCCTTTTCTTCTTATTATTTTGTAGCCATCCCAGTGTTTGTGTGTTGGGGCGTAAGTACAGCTGTCGGATGTGCTATTCAGTACAAAGTAACAGCTAACAATTTAAACAGTAACTCTAATCTTCTACAATTCTGCAACTGCTGCGACAGACCAAAGCCCGATAGATGACAAACCACAACTCGCAGCCAAAGAAGCTGGTTTATCATTAACTACAGTCAAGTAAAGTCAGTTTCAAAAGCTAACCTTGTGCTATGGAAACTGACCATATACAACAGATCACGAGCTTTTCACGTTTAATACAAACCGACCACTCAACTATAGCCTGCAAGCACGCCCTCGTATCAGCGCCTCGGCACGACCGTTTTTTCGCCCGAGGGAAAGTATGAGGCCTTACAGAGCAACGTGAATCGGCGAGAGGTCTGCTATTTTAGAGCCAGACGTCCGGCAATCCTCTCTCCTACTCCGGCGTCTTAAATCCTCCCAAGGGCGGAGAAACTTGCGCACAGCAGCGCCGATAACAAGGGCTTGCTACTAGGCTGAGTGAATTAGACGGTCATAATTTCGAGAAATGCATATCTTGAAGCAATTACATTGTTGAGCTTAAGCGCTCGAATAAGATAGGAAATGGCTGAAGAGTTGAGTTTAATCGCAGTGGGTTTCAGGTCACTTTGGGGGTGGACGAGAGAATAATGTTCGAACAGGTGTTTTATGTTTGAAGCTCGTTTTTAAATAACAGTCCTTTTAAAACTTGTAAATGCAAACCGGAGAACAGTTAGTATCGTTGTCATAAACAGCAAAGAAACAAACGAAAAAGTGAGGAAAAAAAACCTTTTTTGGTTAACATTTTGGTTAAAAAGAATGAGACTTACGAAAACTATTCAATTCATCCTTTTAATAATCAAAGCGAAATTTATTTACACCTTCATTCCCAAAATCGAAACAAATTTATTACATTGCACCCGCTAAGAAGGTTGCGACGGATATTACGTACAATTTTGGCAATTTTGTAAGCGCAAGTACGGGTTACATTACACTTACAAAAAGCTTTGTCACAAATTATTATCTTTACCTAACGCAACGACCGAATCTGATCGCTCTTCGTGCATCATGTGGTCAGTTTTCGATTAGTTGATCAGTGTCTGAGCGCAAAAATTGAAACTAATTAACCAAGCGACAACAAAGAAGAGAAATTGTAGGGAAACTTCATCAGTAAGGAGTTTTCATACCATATTTCTGGTAACACGCAGTATTCAAGGTTCAATAACCAAGAATGACAGGTGCATAGCCAGGATTTTTCAAAGAGGCGGGTGAGGCACACTGTAAAACAGAAGGTACTTACCAGATTGTCCCCCCCCCCCCCAAGCTACTTATTATTTGATGGTTACACATTAAAAGCTAGGTATCCAGATTTACTCGTAAGATGAGTTCTTCGTGCGACGGATGAGCGACAAGAGAAGAAAACTACAGAAATTTTTCAAAGTCTGAGATAAGTCTTAAGATGTTGTTTCCCTGTTAGTTAACTACTTTCCTCTGCACCTTTGAGCCAGCCTCAGTATTCTCGTTATTGTATACGTTGAGAAGTCTAAGGTAACGAGGTAAATTGCGGTAGAAACCTTGTAGTAATAGTTTACCGAGGAATATATGTCCCAAGAGGTAATATAGAACCAAAGGGAAACAAAAATGTGAAAGAAAAATGGAATTTAAGTCCAATGGTTTGTTAAATTGGCGACCAGGCCTTTTCACAGATTTGTCCAGTCGATTGATAACAAGTTCCTATTAGATTCCAGGCAGTGCGCGACTTCCTCAGCTACTGAGTGAGTTTGCCATAGTTTCTCCAGTTTCCGATATCGATCAGGGCAAAGATACAGTGGGTTACCCCTCCTACAAAAGGAAACGAAAGCGATGAACTGAAGTGCTATTGTTGTTGTTTCATTTTAACTCGATAAAAAAGACTTCTGAACTTTTTCGAAAGAGTGAAAATGAAAATTCACATTCATTCCAATATTCATAATTAACAAAGCAAAACAAAACAAAAAAAATAGAAGTAATTCCGAAAAGGACTGTTGGATCTCTTACATACCGCCAAATAGTAAATTGACCCATTAAAAAAGATGCCGAAAAGTCAACAGCGCTATTATTTTTAAAACAGGTTAACTTAAACGTGTATTTTACTTACCCTCCTCTCCCTTAAGCTCTCCTATAAATCCATCTATATCATTCAACTGTGCAAACAACTACTCCTTATCAACTATTTTTCCGTTTAACCGTACTACGCTTAGAAATTGGGGAAGTTACTAGCTCAGTTTTGAAGAAATCAGCCAGTTCACCCTTTAACTCCCGAAAGTGATTTAATGTAACTTCTCCCTAAAAAAATATATTCATTATTAACATGTAATGAGAGTATTCAAACTTATCAGGTAGAAGTTGTTATCTTGATCTAACACCAAATTCTCGTAACTAAATGCGAGGAAATTTGTAGCAGCTAAAGGGGAGAATAAACAATCAGATCTTAGGAATTTAAGGGTTAAACTGGACCCAGAGTTTTCGCCTTACATTTTCTAAATGTCACCGCGATCGGAAAGAATTTTCACGAACTCACCTGAGCCCTTGGTCGGTCTCGCCGTATGCATCCAAATAAGGAGGCGAGTAGAAACACCCTTTGTTCTTATTGGCCATCAACAAGATATGACATTCACGTACACGTAAAAAAACACCGACTCCTGCACCACATTTCCGGGCGTGCGCAGCGCATGCTCCGACTTTGTCCCCCTCGATTTCCGTTTGGCAGCAGTAGCTTTGAGAGCAAAGCATTTCGCCGCAAATCAAACATAAAGCTGGCGCACGACTATCATCTCCGTCAGAATTAGGGCAGCTGGAAAAAGAACAAAGTTGCATCTTTAAAAAGTAAGATGAAGACGACGATGATGACGACGATAATGATAATAATGACGACGATAATGATAATAACGACGACGATAATGATAATAACAGCTATAATGATAATGACAATCCTAATAATGAACTTACGTGAACATTGAAGCTTGGTTGATTAACTCACTGTAGTCCACAGGAATCTTCAGCAAATGATTGGGTTCTATTGAATATCTGAGAAAAGTACGACTCATTAAAAATGAAACGCAGCACTGACAACCCGTCAACTCAAAGCCCGATAAATTGAAAATGTTACTTTGTTTTTCGGTTTTGACTTTACATCCACATAAATCCGCATAGCGAGTCCATCTAACACACACTCACTTAACTGAAATGTATTTCTTCCAGCGGGGTAAATTCGACCGTTCTGTAACGATGTATGATAATCAGCAAGGTACATTGTAAAACCTGAACCTAGTGTTTCATGAAGGAAGAGTGAATAGAGGAGGCGATTAGCCAACTCCCGTCTTCAATGATCCGAAAAACAGTCCTACATCAGACAGAAATGTTAACCTCATGTTGCTTATTCATACCATGTTCTCACCATCATCTGGAAAGAACCTCACTTACCCTAGTGATTCAACTCCCGCGGTAGACAAGGTTTTCTTAACATGCTCGTGGCTACACCACCTATCAAAAGAGCAAAAGAAGGAAAAAAAAAAAAAAAGAAGATTAATTTTGCAATTTTTTTGACTTTAAAGAAATTACTAGTGCTTGTTTTTCCCAAATTTCATTCGGAATCATGTGACAAATCAAACATGGCCGCACGGTGCACAACCACGAGTTTGAATGAGGATACAAACCTTTTGATGGTGGTGAAGATGGTTGACGAACTAATACAAGACCTGTCTTGATTCCACTGCAGTAAGCACGTCATGTCTGTAGGCACTGAAAGGTATCGGCTCAAGCACTCTATCTCCTCGGTCAACGAGGGTCGGTTGGGATCTGGATCGCATAAATAAATTAATTAACCACGCAAAACTAAACATGTCGAATGTAATATCTCTTATGTAACTTAAAACATACCTTTTAGGATGACAACTCGTGTAGTTTGGAAATTTGCGTAAACGCTTTAGCTACCTCTTGGCAAGAACGGAAAGCTTCGCTACTTTTCAACTATTCCAGAATCACTCATTTCACCATAATTCTAATACCATAGTCTAATTAGTCTTATAGTCTAATTCCTGTTAAAAACAGCTCGGTTCTGAGAGCCTGGAAGGCCACCACCTAGCCACGACCCTGGCCACAACAACGTTCGTACGTGCGCAAACGTTTGACCGCTGTGTCCATGTTACTATGGTTTCCCTGGCTGAGCTCGCGAGTATTGTACACGCTCTTCAGCACAAAGTCCGAACTAGTTCACGCGAAAAGGCTACGTCAAAAAAGAAAGTTAAAACAAAGTAAATGAATTCTTTATGGAAGATCAGCCTTCCAGACAGTAGTTTGGTTTTTCTCCCTTGTTCTCTGTTCGAGATTTGCTGGTTACCTTTCAATAAAGATGGTCCTGAAATATCAGTCAGGAAATGAAAGAACAGAGCCGAACAGCGAAGGAATGGTAACAACTGTGTCGTCACGAGTCTAAGAAGCTCCTGTGGCATGGGATGAGGAGTAATGGACTGGGAACTAAAACAACAAAATAAAGAAAACTTCAATCAATAACACCATTAAAAGAAGATCATAAAGTACGGCTCTTGTTAAAAAATATAAAAAAACGTCAGCAGTCAGATTCAAGTCTCCAAACCTTTGCAGTAATACATAGACTTCCAACCTGAGCTTCTAAATTTTGGTTTTTAGTCGTTGTATACTGAGGCCGAAAGCTTCCGTTTTCAAAATATTTATTAACCAGAGAACGCGTTTTTAAGAAGAATTTTCATCATCTTTCAATGGGACAAACCAAAGACAATCTAGTTTCAAACTCAGAGAACCATGAAAACCAGAGGTACATCTAGAATAATCGCATTGCGTTGAGAAGAGGAAGGCAATTAGAAGTGATCAGACAAAACTGTAATGAGGCTTTGCAGTTTGTTCAGTCGTCACACAAAAACAATTGCTGAATTATTTAATGTCATGATGGTTTTTATAGTTTGAGAGCACACTGGGAAAACGAATTTTATTTATTTTACTGATTTATTTTCGAAGTTAAGCACAAGATGGGTTACTTAAAATAAACAAACAACTTGAAATAACTTAACGCTTTCCCAAATAGAAAAGACTTCCACAGGTGCAAAAGGTTAACATCGCTCTAGAATAACTGCATAACTCAATCGCAACTACAAAATCAGTACAGTTCTCTGTTAAAGCAAAGAAAACAAGTATTTCCTTTACCCTGCCCAGTGCCTCAGTTTACCCCACACGGCAGCTAACTTTACAGCCTCGTCCTGAAGTGGCCCTTCCTGGTCCATTGATTCCCCCTCGTTGACAGCACCTATCAAAAAATGACCACGAAGTGAATTGTGGCATGAAATAAGCACAAGCATTCTAAGAATACAAGGGCTCCATGTAGCGGTCTTTTCCTCGAAACTAAGTGCGAATACCGCTTGCCTAAAACTCCAATATCGCTTGACAGAAAAAAAATTTAAAAAAAAAAAAGGTCAAGACTGCTTCTAAGAATGGAATAAACACCGTTCGTTTTTTGTCTTGTAGATCCAAAAGCAAAGCAGCCACCACGGCCAATCAGAGAGAAAGAAAAATATCACGATGAGCCGATGAGTACTCAAAGTAAAAACAATCAAACTTCCCTGAGCGCGAGAAAACGCGAATGGCCATGTCAGAACTTTGCATGTGATTGGTTGAGAAGGTGGCGCGTGTTTTCTAAACCAATCACAAGGTGGAGTCAAGCAAACAAATACAATCGTGGATTACTTTTGACACTCAGCTCATGAATTTCTTAGATCTCCTCAACAAATCACATGAAAATCCGATACTGACCCCTCGCTTCTCGCACTTGATGCAGAATGTCTTGAGGACCTATCCATTCCTTTAGTTGCCTCGTTTTAAAGAAAAAGACGGTTTTGAATTTTCAACGATCTGTTCTCGCCAATGCAAGTGGAAAATGAAATTACACTCCCAGCGAGTACGCTCAAGTTGTAAGGTGGTCAGTATAACCAAACGACACGCTTTTTCTTACCTGGAAGATCAGGTGATGTACAGAGCAATATTTGAACAATACGCGCCATCAGAGTGAGCTGAAAAACAGACTGATCCATTGTCACAGGAGAATTCAGACCCACAATGCTCTTCAAGATGGGTGACGAACCACCATCATTAGACTCCTGATACAACATACTCGGTAGAACCAGGCGGAGCTTTACCTGGTAATGAAAAACATTATATTGACTTTTTTTGGTGTTTGTGTACCTAGAAAAAGCTATCAAGAGTCTTATAAGATTCCCATAAATCACTTTTCTTTAGCCCAAAGGCCCTTGTAAAGCATATACCAATCAAGTTGTGTTTTTTGATTTGTTTTGTTTTGTTTTGTTCTTTAATCGTGCACTGTTGAAAGCCAAGCTTAGGGCACGGAAAAAGTTTTAAAATGTTCAAGACGACAATAAGTGCTAACCATTAAACTAAAAAGGTCCAACTCCAGGAGAGACGGGCCTTCAGTGCCAGGTACCGCGTCGGGTGTTAGGACTGGAATCAAATAAAATACAAATTAAGGTGAGACAGAGGAGCAACCTGTGACAACCCAGGATTTGGCTTCACAGCCACACGCTGGTGCACACTGATTAGTGGTACACAGATGTTATTGTTGGAAGCAACAGACAACCAACCAACATTGTGATTAATCGTGATTTTACGAGTGCTATGTTCATCAAGTACCAAACGATACCCTCCTCGACCAGATTTCGTCGAGATGGGACGTGAGCTGACCGTAGGTTGCCATAGGGAGCAAGGGAATGTGAGAATTACAGTATTTTCTTGTTCCGACATTTCCAACCCATACTCACTCTCTTTGTGGGACAACCCTTCCACCAACCCCACTCCCCTTGAAAATACAATAGAGTGCCTGTTCTGTTACTCCTCCCTTCCTGTGTTTCCGACAACGCAACAAAGTGCATGGCTTTGACCAGGGATATACCGCGGGCCTTTTTAGCAAGAGTGCTTGAAATCACTTTCATTGTCAATAAACCCGGAAGATAGTGGATACAATTTTGAGACCTGCAGCGTGGTCAATTTAACAACGACCCTATAATCTACTTCTGAGCTACAGAGAAACCATAAGTAAAATATCCCGTACAATACGTTCATGCGAGAATTCATTTCCATTTACACACACAACACTTTCGCCGTTGCTGAACCTTGCAGTATGTAGGACGCTTGTCATGTAACACAAGAACATGACTTTGCATGCCAGCGAATTTTCAGTGGTACAGTTGGTTCTCTATAACTCAATGGACCCTCAACGGTCCGAGGTTCGAAACCTCATAGGAACAGAGATTCCGTCATTGTCTCCTTCTTGAGAGAATTTAATAAAAACTGTGTTTACCTAACGAACGAGCTTAAAAATCATCAATTTTTCCAACTCTTTCCTTACCAGATAATAGCCGCAGACAGTGCCTTTGAATGGCCTTGTTTGAAAATATTCCTGACACAACTGAAGCTTGGCGAGTTAACGCTGCCATACACTGAAACTAGGGGGAAAATGTCAAAACAGGAATGTTATACACAAAAAAAAGTTATAAAAAGTTGTAATGATTTCACGATTTTACCTGACGAGATGTAAGGCCAGAGAAAAGAGGCTTGCCTTCTACTCTTAGAGCACTCTCTAGAAACAGCAAACAAAGCAAATTAGTTGGTCCCCAATTACACATATCAAATTAACTGAAATGTCAGCTTTTGAAACACTATCCGATTACATTATCAACTCAGTTGATCAAACCAAATTATCTCGTTATACACCTCCAACGACGCAACACCACAGTTTCTTTTGAAACTTACCGCCTTCATCTATTTTCTTACAATTTTTCTTTCAGTATTAACTTACACTAAGCTAGCACTTCATACAACCACTTCGTTCACAGACACACTTCAACGAAAGAGGTGCTAAGAGGTCGACTCCTACTCCTGGAGTTGCGCTGACTGTTTTGCGACGATGTATGTACAATCAATTTAAGTATGAACTAACCTCCACTTTGTATGGTGTACGCACATGCTTCCCAGACCAGCAGGGGAACACGTTTGTCGTCATCATTAGGATCAACTCCTAATCCAACCTAAATGCACACACACGATAAAAATAAGAAAGAAAGAAATGTCACATTAGCATCCAGGCTTTCCATGAACTCATGCCTCCTTAGTCCGTTATTTAACTTTTTATTTCTTTAAATATATATTCATCGATTTATTTTTAATATCATTACTATTTTCATCAACCCGATGGGCCAATTTTCACTGGGAGTTCGTTAAAAGAACAATTTCATCGGGTTGGCTTTGCCAGTGTTCGGATGTGCAACCGGAAAGTTCTTTTTTTTTCGCTTGTGATAAAATTTCGCAAAACAATAGCAAGAAACACGAGTTTGAAGTTTCACCGGTTTTTCTCTAAGGAACTTTAATTTTACACCTAGACTTTTCATCAAAAAAGATAAATTAAACACAAAATATCAGCACAAACGGTGAAATAAAGTACTCCTTTAAAATGTTTATGAATTGAAGCCATGACGTGTTTACTCACCGTGAAACAAGACTGAGAGAAAACCCGCATCATTTCTTTCAAATCATTGGAAAACTTCGTTCTAGGGAAGAAAAGTCAAAATTTATCTCAGGATATATAAAAAAAAAGGATGCGAAAAAATAGGAAACTAGAGGAAAAGACGTTCTAGCCTCACCCAGTTTTGAGAAGATTTTGAAATACTGCTTGGAATCTTTCTGATGCTGGTGAAAGAAAGAAACAGTGCGGAAAAGATTGAGACTAACACAAATGTTTCCTTTGGACCCTCCCCTCCCCCTTGATCCACCTTGTATGTTTACCTTCCTTCTTTTTCTTGTCGTCTTCTTCTGATAATAAATTGAGATTCGACGAGACCAAATCTTGCATACCACTTAAAAATTCTAGGATTGTTACCTCCTCAACTCTACGGAAAAGGAAAAAGTGACCCAATAAACACAGGAATCATAAAGACTTTTGAAAACATAAAAGGGTTGTCCAGTGTATAGCCGCAAACGCTAATCACTCGTATTTCAAACTTTACTAGAACAAACTTGACACATTGTTGAATACGGTAACTGAAAATGACAAAATTACAAACACGCGAATGAGCATAAAATAACTTACATCGTATGAGTGAAAGTACTGGAAAACGACAAAGCGAAATAAACAAGGATACTTACAAGACGAATGTGACCAAACCAAAGACGAAAACATGAAACCCAGAGCTAGATATGTAACGATAATTTTCGCAAACTAGACAACTAACCCAATAAATTACGCGCAACCAATATATATACGATATGCAAATAAATATAACAAGTACAAAACTGGTAACTGACAAAGGACTCTAATGGAAGACGAGAAAATAAACACCTAACACGAAACTATGAAACACCAACACTAACAAAAAATGATAATACAAATTCTTGCGCCAACACAGTGAATTGCACAAACATCGTCTTTTTTCATTTCCATAAATTATTTATTTCTTGAGAACTTATACGGCTTCAGTTGGTTCGTTGGCTTTGTGACTGGGTAAAAATAATTCCCGACACCTCCTTGACCAATCACGAGTCGCGTATTCTCTTACACTTGGCGCAGGTTAACCATCTTGATCTTGAACTTTTGTTGGTTCTTGTTGTTATTATCATATTCTTCGACTGATTAACAATTTTAGTCGAACACTTTAAAAACTTCTGAAATAAAAATTATCTCCTCACCCCTCTCCCCGACCGTTGAACAGTGCAGGCACCACGGGTAGAACTGTGTTGCTGATACAGCCGCACAATGGACATAGATACTCTCTTCTTGAGACATCCACACTGAAATATTGTCCCATACGCATGGCTCTTCTCTCCTTGACCACAACGGATTGGTAGAATCCTTGCCAGCAGTCGCTATGCATCATGTGACCGCAGCTGCTGACATGGACTCCCCAGTAGTGGTCCCCCGGGGTGTAAAGGGGGTCTAGCTCGTCACCATTCTCGAACATTTTGCCGCGGGATCGCGATAACACGGTCGACCGCTGGACAAAAGAGGCTATAACTAAGGCTCGTCCGTCACTACTAACCTGTTAACGAAGAACAAACATTGCTGTACTGAAATAACTTACGAACTTTCCATCTCCATTTGACTTGACATACTCTCACCTCTTGCTGTTCTTGGCACAAAATACAAGGCTCGGTTGCATAGTGTATAGTTCGCACTCCTTTCTGACAGCGCTGAACTCCTAGTACTACAGGCTCATCATGTAAAACGACTTCGTTAACTTCTGCGACTGTAGACTCCGCTGTGTTGTAACTAGCACATAGAGAAAAACAACAGTCCTATTAAGCATACTTTTGCTCGTTATCTGGTTGTTTCAATCAAAGAATTAGAGTTTCTACACAGATTTATGGAGATACATATCTCGACTGTCAAATCCTTCAGTTTAAACTTCGCTCGCAAAAAAAATACGCACTTGCTCCACAAATATGTTTACCTAAGATCACCATCAGACGATGCAGGTGATATAAAATGTTTGTGCGAGTATAAACCTCTTTTCATTCTAATCTTTTCTAACCTGGGTCGCTAGTTTTTACTTACTCCTCATTTTCCATTGATGCCAATAAAGCGGCATTTTCTTTGATAAAAGATTTCTGCAAAGCAGACATCTGCGCCATGATTTTGGCTCTCCTCTCCTGAGCAAGCCGAGCTCTCTTTGCCTTCTCTTCTTCTTGTGAAATACTCCTCTCAAATTGGGTGCGCTGCACTATACCCACCCCCTGGGGCTTTTCTTGACGTGCCTCAAGCTCCTCGTAGAAATTCTAGGAAAGGAAATTTGGTGACAATCACGGTCACAGCCTGAAAAAACTTTCGAACTTTACAAAACTTATTACGGTAAACCCAAACTAGCAAATATCGGAAGGAATAGTAAGCGATTTTGCTAAAGCACACAAATACTACAAAATTTGACCGAATTCACAGAAGGTTTACGTACTTTTGCTATTGTACACATCCTGAGGATTTTAAATATATTTCATGTTTCTTCTCGTCCTCCTAACTGATGTTTCAATTAAGTTTAAGGATGGCGAAACCGAATTAAAACGAACTGAATGTAATGAACTTAATATTAGCTAACAAATGAGTTGAAAACGTAAATTAGCCACCGTAAAGGGTAAAAAAGCTGACGTTTCGAGCGTTAGCCCTTCGTCTAATTTACGTTTTCAACTCAGTTGTTAACACTAAATTACCCGCTATACTCTCCCACCGACGCAGCACCACAGTTTCTTTAGAAACTTACCCCCTTAATATTAGCTAAGTTAACCTTCCGAAAATGCCCTCAACTCCCGTAAAACAAACGAACAGAGAAAAAACCTAATGATAATAATGGCTGCGAGCTACCTTTAAGATCCACGCCAACTGCCTAGCATGTTCCTCAGGCAGTTCACAGTTCTGCAATTTCTCCAGTGTTGTTAGAAGACTTTGCGGATGATCTGCAAAAACGTAGCATAATAAACCGGGATTCATTGCTTTATCAGGTTAAGGGATAAGTCTCGAAAGCTTAAAGAATTATTTCAAGCAATCGTTTGCAAAACCAAAGCCAAACTCTACTTAGCCACTTCCCACTTTTTTAACGCCTGAAGCTACTTACATGTATCAACTCTGAGTTCTTATTGGCTCCTTTAATTACTCCACTAAGTTCAGACTGGCCGACAAAATTGGTTTGGTTTTGATATTATCACATCGAAAACAATCCTAAAAACTGTCGGGAAAAAAAACAACTGCAACCACCTTTCTGAAATTGTGGCTATCGTCTCACAAAATGGGGCGATTAATTGGGAATTGAGGATTTTAACAGATTTAAAACAGCTTATTAAAGGACGGTTTTCCTTCAGTATGCACTGGAGAAAATGTAATAAACGTCTGTCTCCTGCGCACGATTAAAAGTGGTAGGACCTTTTTGTGTCAGGAAAGTAGTACCATTCAATCCATTTGGTTTGAATTATTAATTAACACGGCCAATTGAGATACGTGAACCAGTAAATACCTCCTTGGGAAGTTGCAACGGAGATGAAGTTGAATTCGTCTGCTTTTTTATTCATGCGATGCCTTTTTTCTTCGTGGAGAGCAAGACAAATTAGATGAAGAACCTACAATGCAAAATGAAATAGGGATTGTTTAGTAAGCAAGGTGACTATGGTGATAGCTTCTAGTCAGGTTTTCGAGACCTAGACCAATCACTCCCACCAACAGCGGCTAACACTACTACTAATACGGGCATTCCAAGAATATCTGGTTTTAGGGACTTTTCCTTTATTCGAATAGCTAACCTCTGGAATGCAGTCTCTGATATAACTGAGGCAAATTGCACCTTATGCATTTCAAACAGAAATTGAATTTTTTCCTGAACCTTGTTCTTGACCGAAACAACGTAAGGTCTTAAAATATTATCTTTCCTAAGTTTCGTAGAAGTAACACTGTTGCTCGGTGTTCTCGTCAAGTTTCTCATATTCCAAAATTATTCATAATATTATATTATCTAGTAGTAATATCATCATATTTCACCTAGTTTATTGTCTATACCTAGTTTGTTAAGGAAGTAAGCCGGGTTAGGATCATAGGAAATTTTACTGGGGTTGGGTTAGCAGTAAACTTCGTAGGGAAGCCTGGCCTGAGTCCTATTTTTTATTCATCTAGTGCCTTTTACCTTGCTCTCTACTGAATACTTAAATAAATATAAGCACTTTTAAAGACTACTTTTAATCAGAAAATAACACCACATAATCACCTTGATATCTCAAACTCAGATGAGAGGCAAATTGTTAGAACTGCTTTTCAATGGCGTTAACAAAAATCGATTGTTTTCCAGAGCACATTTCCGTTTAAATATTCTTTCGCCATAAAAATGCTGTCAATGTCTAGCTAGCTGCTTACCTGCTGTACAAGCAAATCCGTAACAGCTCTGGCTTGAGTACACTGCGCTCGCAGGAGAAGCGTGTTAATGAGTCCCACAAGTATCTTACTGGTCAGCAAGTTCAACACACTTCTAAAGGGTGTGGAAAACTCAGGAGGGATGGGTGGGTTATCCCCTTTAAAAAACAAGAGTTAATGTTAAAAAAAGAGCAACTCTTAGTTGAGCACATACTACACGAGTTCACTCGGTTAGAAGGGACGCTTTCCTCTCGAGGAGTTCATGCTAATGTATTACGTATGTGCTCCGCTAGCGCGCTTACTGCTACCCTTCCCCATTACTACTTTCCTCTGATCTGATTTTGCCGTTGTGATTATCGTAATTAAAATCACTAAATCGAACAGAGCGCTAAGAGATCATCAACATTATCGTCGAAACCGTTAGTCGCACCTCTAACTTCTTTTTCACTTCTCCCTCTTTTACGCTGCTGTTCTTCAGCCTGTTGGATATAATGTTTAAAGTAAAGTGAAATGCTGTACGAACATTTCTAAAACTAATTTGGGTACATGGAAGGTACTTGGATATAGAAAGGATCATACTTGTTGTTTGGCAGAGTTGATCCTCTATCTTAGCCGCTGCAGTAGCTTAAAGTCTTCTTTAATAAACTTTCAAATGTAGCAAATCTACATACCTTGGACTGCTCTACCCGTGTGTAGTGATAGAAGAATGGATTGTACTCCTTAAGACAATCTGGTTTCAGTTCATAGAGTCCTCGCCCTGTAACTCCAGGTTTTCTGCAAAACAGCATTGGTGCAGAACAAATCAAAGCGAAGCGTTTTTCCGCTCTACTTGGCTAACGTTCAAACGCACACCTTCCGTTTTATCATAAAAAGCCATTCTCATATTCAAGACAATGAACTTCAATAAACGGTACCGTTCATGTTTTAATATGCTCATATTGAGAGTAATTTACCGTTTATTACCTTTTGAAGACGGTAAAAATAATTCCACAACTAACACTTTCTGAGCAAGATAGTTTCGAAGGTGATCAAAACATTCCAAATATTATAAGGATGACAGAGACCCTCAACTTTCGAGGTCTTATGCAAGGAATTGCTAAATAATTTCAACCCTTAGCAAATTTCAACCCTTAGCAAAGTTACTATTCATTTTGATGAAATCTTCCCAAGATCATACCACAGAATAACAAATAACATCAACGACATACACGTTTTTTGAGATGAAGACAGCGATCAAAAAGCAAATGCAAATGCCTTTGGCTCACTTTAACCGCAACAAATAAACTGGTTTGTAGTCGTTCTAGCATTTTATTCTGGACGAGGCAGAATTAAAATCTGCAACAAACTGGACCGGCAAAGAGAACGCTCCATTTTCACTTCAATCAGGCTTAGGATTTGGGACCTGTAAAACGTTCTCGTAGAGAATTTACACGGGGAAAAAGATTCACACCAGAAGACCGTCGCCTCTTACTTAAATATTGACACAGATTCGATGATTCCGTCCACGCCTTCTTCATCCTCCAGTTCATTGTCGACGAGAGGAAGATTTTTTATGAGCTCGCTGTGCGTCATAGGACGTAAGCACAGTTTGTGTACGATCTCGCGTCTCATGAACTCGCCCGCTGACACACGGCCTACACCAGGTATGTAGCGCTCACCTTAACGAAAGATAAAATTGGAAAAAACAAGATAGTGAAAACAAGATTGTGAATGCTCAAAACAGGATTTCAAGAAGTTAACTTCCAATTGGCCACATGAGGGCTTCATAACTGGTAGTAAAGAGATATTTTTTATATTCCTTAAAACACGCCTTAATGGTTCTTTTTTCAGCTTAAGCAAACGAATTCCACTGTCCACCAAAGCAATCGTGTATCGTACTCACCCACGATGGCTATCAGCAAGGACAAGAATGATTCTGCAATCGTCAACCTTTGAGTCAGCTTCTCCTGAAATAATCCACAAAAGCAGCAACTATGATTAGAGACGAGGAAGGTGAACAAAAGTTTGGCCACAGTGATATGATGTGGACATTTCTTGGATTACCACCAGAAGAGGGTTTAATGAACTAATTCTACTAGGAGAAATTGGCGCATTTCCTCCGGCAATCACGTCGGAGTGGAACTCTTCAAAACAAAAGAATGGTCACAAGTGAAAACGCTCTACTACATTATTAATAATTGTCGCTTTGTACGCCATGAATCTTAGAGTGAACTGAATTTCACAGCTACGAAAAGCTCGACAAGGTTGACAATCCAACCTCCAGAGAAGGCCAAACTACTAGCATTTTGCGAGAGCAAAGAGGGCTTTAAAGAGACACTCTACGAATTTCCCTACAGATTCTCAAAGGCGTCTGAAGAGTTCCTCAGTCTACACAAAAAGCCGCGTTTGACTAACCACGAACTATTTTTCAGGCGTATTCGACGATTCTGTTATTGCAAAAAGAGAAAAATATATGGAAACGCAGCTTAATACGGTTCATCATAGTCACCTGGTCATATTTGCTTTCATCAAAGGCGAACCTATAAAATAATAGAAAAACAATATTACAGAGCCGCTGAACTAAAACAACATTAAGAAAAGAACGTCTCGCTATGAGGCACAATCAGTGAAAACAGCTTTTCAGTCACCAAATTGCTTTACTAACATTCAGAAATATACTGTTGGATGACAGAGCAGATTTCACGATAAATGACAAGAAAAAACGAATTTGCTTCATAAACTTTCTTGAAGAAACATCATAATTTTCACAGAAATAAAAAGATTGGAGGTCGGAGTTAATAAGAGAGAAAATTGTGAGCCTACAGAATAAAACTATGCAAAGAAAACATAAAGTAACCTTGACCACTCCAAGAGATCAAACTTGTCCAACATAGCAACTAACAAATAATCGCTGTCCAAAAACGAAGCCACAACCTTCAAAGAAAAACGAGAATAGAATTACCAATTAACAGCGCTAGCGTCCCTTTACAAGTCAGCAGTGTTTTCACATGAGCATGCGTCACAATTTCTTGTCTTGTAATGTTGTTGTTGTTGTTTGATTTTTGTTTGTGCGTTTGTTGGGTAACGCTATTTCTGGTAGACTACGATTCTAAAATGTCATCACGCGAAATAATAAAGAACCCCTTGCACTCACAAAAGAGCGTGTAAGAAAGAAAAAAAATTGAAACGTTTTTTTTTGCTCAGCCAACGGACTGAAAAAAAAAGCACCTTTAGAACCCTACCTGAAGCATGATCACATCCTTATCGAACATATCTGCACGGCATTTTACATGCAGATAGTTATATACCTGGATAAAAACGAAATCATGTCATTATTACTTCGCCAGAAACAAAACAAGGAAAACAAAAGTTAAAAGTTTAAAAGATAAGTAAAGAGAAGAACTATTGACACACTAAAAGGTAACGACCAGAATGTATTTCATGCCTTACCTGGTGCATCACAGCGTAACCGTTTCTTCGCCAGAGTCCAGCATGGACTTGTGCCGCCATAGCGAGAGTGCGAAGAGGGTACTCTATTAGAAACAACTTTAGCCTGTCGTCCTGGAAAAGAAATCACACATTATACATTATTCGGAGAAAATTAAGGAACTTACGTGAGACGCAATGGCCTCACAACTGGATGGCTGGACTCTGGGTCAAGAAGTCCACGTTCCAAACCGAGCTAGGTGACTGTGATACGCACTGAGGCAAGACAGTTCTATTAGTACACCATACTCCACCCGAGAGTATAATTGGGTACTGGTGAACAGTTACAAAAGGCTGACGAAATGCATGGGGAGGGGGAGGGGGTAGGGGTTTATTGGTTCAAAATCAAACCTTTCAGCACGCAATGTGCTACTATAGAACCAAAACCGAACCGCTGCTACTTCCAATCACATCAACACCAAATGTCGATAAGCCAACAAGATTTAGAGGTGAATAGGCACCAACACCAGAACCAGAGTAACGGCCTTCGACAAATGGCTGATTGCTATCAGTTTAATACTCGATTGTTTAAGTGTACGAAAGAGATAATTAAATCATTATTCGACTGGGACCAAACCCATTCCAGATTACTGCCAGTCAATTGAAGTTATATTTAAATTATACGAAATGGCCACAGCTGAAAAAAAGAAGAAGATTAAGATTACATGCTTCAATTTTACCTGAGTTTCGAATCCAAAAAGGTCCCAAAATGACAGCTGAAATTTTTCACAGGCAAGTAGAAGACCTGAAAATGATATAAAAAAGAATCGAGCTTTAAAATGGTACGTCACCCATAACAAACTGATCTCAACACATGTCGACCACTATCAGCATCTGCATTTTGCGGAATTTTCTAATGGATTTCTCAACACGTATAATCCTGAAACATTATTGATTTGCTTCACTCCGCTCTATGAATGGTTAAAAAAAACGAATACCAAAGAAACCACCACGGCCAGTTAGAGAAAAGACTAACATCACCAGGAACCAATGAGAACTCGAAGTGCAGGCAAAGAAAGCCTCGTGTGCGGGAAAACGCGCGAATAACCGTTTTCGTTTTTGCATGCACCTGATTGGTTGAGTGTGGCACAAGTTTCCGTGATGAATCACAGAGCGATCTTACTGGTTGTGAGTGTTGTGCAAGTTTCCTAGACTAATCAAAGAGCGTAGTGAGGGATAACCAATATACTTCCGGATTATTTTCAAAATAAACTTGAAAACAGCTCTACGCACACCCCGAATGTTCTTACCTGCTAAAAATCTTGAGACAGGCAAGTGAACAGAAATGGGCGAAGATGCCACATCATACCGAAATACTTTCATCGCCGCAAGATTAGACACTAGAGGAAAAAAAACACATCATTATTAAGAACAAAATTTTCAAGAAAAAATGGGCAAAAAAAGGGTTTCTGCTTTCGTATCTGCCTGACTTTGCAAAAGCGTTATATTTTCAATTGAAGGCGGGCATTTAAAGCCAGGCTGGCCGCTTAAAATGCTCAAGGCTATCACCTGGACGCTGCTAAGGGCCTATAGACGGTGGTTTGCCAGCAAATGTGTGTCTGAAGCAACGAAATGGAGAGGTGTGACCCTTACAACATTCCTAGAGTTTCTTCGGTCGTGCGTTTACAACCGATTTAATGCTGCCAACCTCGTTCCACTATGCATGATTGACAGCCACACCTATGCTCCGCTTCAAGTCATCCAGTTGACGCGCATCAAACTGTTTAATTTTTGGCAACTGTCATGGCAGAGCAGTGAAAAAAATTGGTAACTAAATTTTCAGTGAAAGTCACCAATTTGGTGACCTGTGTTCGGTGGTCCTGCTACAAGCAATTTACTATTCATAGTCTCAATATAAAAGTAGATAAACCGGCCTTTACTTGTAATATTATAAATTTTGTATTGTTTTCTGTTATTGAAAAAAAAATGCCTCTTTCTCTCTGGTTATCCGAGAATTAAGCCTTTAAATGTTTCTTTTTTGTACGGTGCCTGACATTTTATTTTAGGCGACCATCTTACGATTTAAGGTCACTGTATGGCCATTATGATAAAACGTTTAGCTTGGAGTTCTGGTCCTTTCGGGGGTGTGTGTAAAAGGCAATGAAAGGCTGAGCATAATCGGAGATTTGGAGCGGGTGCGCTTTGGCATTCAGATATGCTTGTTGAGACACAACTTAAGGTGGAAGTGGCGTTAACCTAGCACCTGGTCATCACAGAGTGACTCCGACATTCTTATCTCCCTTTCAACACAAACATGGACCGCTAACACATTCATTTTGCCTCTATTGTACTTAACATTTACGAATACAAGTACGTCAACTTTTTGTTCCTTTAACCAACCATGCAAAACTTTCATGACCACTTCCTCTTGCTTTTTTCTCGCCTCAAGAAGTGTTTTGATGGATTCAAGGATGGCTGTGCGAAAGATTAGCACCTGAAAGGAGACACCATGTTCATTTAGTTATTCCCTCTACCGCTGCTTGCAAAACATTGAACTGCCATCGAATCCAAACTGTGCATGGTTATTTTTTTAAGGGTAAACATCTTTCTCAAACATAACAGCTTTTGCTGAAAGTTGTTCGTAATTAAATATTTCTGAAGCAGAAAGTATTGAATTAAAAGCTATTTTCCTATATGTAGATGTAAATTCCAAGTATTAACACTGCATCTGTTTTTCTGTCGTAAATGGGCGAAGCATTGGCCGAATGACCGACCGAGTCACTGTATTCTTTATCAAATCCTTAACGTCACCTGTTTCTCTGCACACAAGAGTAGAAACGGGAAACGATCATAACCAAGATAAGTTCCGGAAATAAGAGGCCTCTAATTTCCAAGACTTATCCAACCAAAGTGAAAACTGACAACTTACATCACTGAAGCACCAATCATAAACCAGCGAGTAGACAGGCATCATTCGCATTTGTAAGTTGAACGCTGCCTCCCAGTCAGGCTCTATCTCCACGTGCCGACCTGTTTTACGGGTCGTCATATCCATGCCCTGAAAGGAAATCACACAGTTTGAATCATTCCATCGGCGATTTACCTATAATCATTAGGAGCTAGACCAAAGTAAGTTGTTCTTTATTTCACATTTAAGATTTTTTTTTTTTTTTTCCTGGATACGTACATCGATTTATTTCTCGCTTTCCGTTCACTTTATAATCGCTTCATTGTTAATTAGGCTAGTGTTACATTTCTCAAGGATATTTTCTTAATTTAGTTTCTGCTGCATTTTCTTTTAGTTCGAACCACACGAATTCAGCTACAACGTGACGATCAATCGTAACTACGCTATCTTCAACTTTACTTCGCCATCTTCATCTGTGATTTCACACCGATCTCCTTATTTCCGTTTGTAATTTTGTTTACGTATTTCATTTGATTAAACCGTGATTTATATTGTTCGGATTGTTGCGTTCGGATTGTCTTCTCCGCTACACTAGTAACCTTTGAAGGTTACAGCAAGGACACTGAGTTTGCATTAAACGGGATAACTTTAATTCCACTTGAAAATCATCTCACCTGCATACACTTAAGCAGTCCAAAGAATTTTTCTAAAAATTTAATGAACTTTCCTCTAAGCTCCTCGGTCCACTCCGTGGGTTTGTGTAGCAGAATATACCTACGAATGATACAATTAATTTAGAAAAAAAATTTCATGATTTTTTTTGTCAACAAAACTTCACAAGAGTCCGATTTGTCATTACATGGGACCTGTCGCGGCGCCTCCATTCCGTTGTTCAAAATGGTTACTAGCCTTTAGTTCAGGAGTATTTTCGGCGAGCAAACGCTAATCTTTAACTAACATCTTGGGATTTTGATGCAGAGAAAGGTTAGGAAGGAAACACTTTCTCCCAAGGGGGTAGTAGATGGGTAAGAGGAATGGGGGGGGGGGGAGGGGAAAGGGATATCGTTCTACCCTTGACTACCCTCTAGCCAACGAATCGGCGAACTATAGGCTGCCCACTGCGCTACCCCGCATTCCGTTTATAGACGAGTGCACTGCAGACTGCACTGTTACTTACTTGAGGTCTATCATCATAAAATAGGACCTGTTGAGGGAGTGCTTTCGAAACTCAAAGGTTCCACGACCTGCACAAAAAAAAAAGGTCAGCATCTGTATCATCATCAAAGAACAAACCATAACAAACGCATAGACTACATAATCAAAGCGCTTGGTAGAAGACCAAAGCAGCCCACACATTTCCACACACTTACTGTTCAAAGCCGGCTTCAACTGCTCCATGAATGCAGAAAGAATCACTTCCAACACGTCATGGTCTAAAATCAGCATCCTGGCCTAAATTAAGGATATAAAGTTCAAACTTTACTGATTTAGGGAATAAATAATCGTCCTCTACCCTTTTTCACCAGTTTACATGAAATCATACATAGAGGATATTACATGGCCGCGTGGAGATACGAAATCTCTCTTTGAGTGTTGAAAAATATTTCAGAAGCGAGTGAAGCGCTAGGTATTCATTGGTGTTTATATAATAAAGTGCCCTACTTTGTTCATAATTTTGTGCACTATTTTGTGTCTGCTGGATCAAAAACTGCGATCCATAGCGGAATGAAGCGGGACTTCAAACTGAAGTTGGATGTAGAACACGTGCAAAGCGAGAAGGGGATGTACTCCTCCTCTCGCGCGCAATTCTCGCGCGATCCGCTTCCACTCGTTTGATAAAATACGATAAATCAAGCGTTTTCCACATTTAAGAAGTGAAGACACAACTCTTACTGGAAGTAACGATATTAATAAAAATAATCTTACTATTGTTGGAACGGTGTAAAGTTGAACTGATAAAGATGTGACCTGATGGAAAAACAGACATAAAAACTACTTCAAAAATCAATTTAAAAAAAATTATAAATCTGAATATAATATAATAAAAATTAATATAAATGTGCTATACATTCTACAAGACGTCGATTTAATTCAATTTAATCTAACCAAACCCTTTCTACCACAAACCCAGTAAGCGCCACTTACTGAAACAGCATGTTCGTGATCATCCTCAACGAAGTCTTTTTGGATCTGTCTGTAATGCTGCGAAACAAAATAACAGAAAATAATCGTTTATTGCAGATGTGCTGGGCGCTGTTCCCCATTTACGACTTCCATGCATGTTGGAATCCAGAGAAAATAGGGTCCGAAACTGCAACCTGCTAGTCGCCGATGCGACTAAAATTTGATTGTTGGTAACCAGACTTTTAATTCTAGACGTCGACAGGCATTATATTCTTTACCTTGGTGAAATGAATGGCAAATGCTCTCTTTCCCAAGGAATCCATCAACATTCTACACAAACGATAAAAAAAGTCACGATTCATTTTCCACTGAAAATCAACAAATGTAATGCAGATTGTAATGTTTTAGGCATT